AACAACTTTCACTTTTTAAAATTCTTTGTTGATAAAAAGATCAATACAAAATTTTACAGATTATTTGTGGAAAAGATAAGATACATAATTTATCTAAAAAATAAAATAAACATACAAGATACAAAAAGCAAGAAAGAAAAGATTTGCTAAAAGAAAAGATTTATAAGTCTTGTGCTCTTCACTAATTAGAGTGGTTGAGAGGGAGGAGCTGAGAAGGAAGAACTTCTCAGGTATTTATACTCATTGTATTAAATGCAAGTCATACGATACAAAGCATGTGGCAAGCTTCTAGAAGTGAGCTTGTCCTTTGTTACAGATATACAAGCTTTTGCCGTATATGAACAATAGTCTTTCACAAAGTAGGTAAACACGCTTGGAGACAATAGAGTGACTCTGTACAGGTACTTTACTTTAAGAGGTATGGTTTGTCCTATGTGTGTAGAAAGACAAGACAAAAACTAATATTTTTCAACAAGATTCATTTGATCGCTGACACTGGAATAACGCTGAGTTTCTTAAGTGTTCGTTGAATCTTGAGTAGATTTCACACTTGTATAGACAGACTTGTTATCACTGAAAATCGCATCAGATCACGAACTTGTTTGTCTCTGTCTTCAGCTTCATCTTCGATATCACTGAAGGTTTTTCTTTTATGTGAGTTTTGTTTTCCTGGAGAATACTTTTCTCTGAGAGAATTACAATACATGTTCAACGATCACTGAACAGACTCAATGATGATCGTTGAAGCTGAATAAAGAGATAGTACACTTCGTAAGATAAAAAGAATCATCATCAAATTACTAAGAGAGAGAGAGGATCAACATGATATGTTGAAGACTCTTCTACCCCTATATAAAGAATCTAAGTTCCATTAGAGGTCGAATATTTGGGTAATTTAACATGAATGTTGAATTCCAAAGTTAATATCAAGTCTATCCATCTTTTCTACCTTTATTATATTTAATGTCAAACCAGAACTCTAAACCATTCATCTCCTTCTATCAATAGTATACCCCTTCCTTTTACTTATAATGTCGGTTTTTCGGTTACCCAACTTAGGTTTTTATACATATTTGTATATGTTTTATGGGTTGTGATTGAAAAATAATCCTGATGTTTGTGTATCTGATGAATAGATAAAGAATACAAATTCACATTGTCATACTGATTAAACAATCCCGATGACAACGTTCTTCATCGTTTAGAATCATAAGTTAACCAAAGATTTGGACTAAAGCCTTAAGACAAAGACATGTGATTTGTTTGGTCATCGTTATATGGATAGCAAAAACTTATCATCAATACACATATACTTATTAACTAAACTTTACCTTCTCATTCGATCAAGCCTTCTTCAAAATTGAAGTGTCTTTAATGTGTCTTCATTTGTAAGTTCTACTCCAACATCATGATCGTTAAGCACTCCAACTTTGTGATGAAATATCTTAAAACTGTTGAATCCATGGGCAGGAAGGAGACAACCAGGAAACCTGGAACATCTTAGTAGCCAGAGGAAAAGAAATCAAAATCAATTCCTGTAGCAAAGGCGAGGGAAATGGCAGCATGCTAAACTGTGAAAACGGGGTTGTAAGAGAGCACTACAAGCATCGTGTTGCTAGAATAAGCAGTATGATGTTGCACCCTAGATGACGATAGTCCAGTAGCCTAACACATCACTAGCTTAAGCTGTGACACTAGTATCATGGGGCACATGGAATCCCGTATTAGCGAATTTAGCCAATTTTCTCACCACAGCTCACCCCAAACCCTACCAACTTTCCAGGTTGTTTAATCCCTGTCATTTCGTTTTAGCTCAACTCTACTCGAAAAACTTTTTTGATGATGTTCCCTTCCTTGGAGAAAAGGGGGACCCCCTCCATGATGGTTTTCGAGTGTCTATCGATGTAAAAAGATTTCAAGCTTCCTCGCCTTCACCCTATGAGTTCATGGTGCTTTCCTGGCTGACCTTCACTCATATCATGCCAGTAGTCACGGTAAGACCAAGAAGGGGGAAGTGTTCTTCGAAATGACTAGGCGTAAAGGACACGTAGGCGGTGAATCGGGTTGAAAGCAAAATTCGCCAAAAAGTGGCGGAATAATAATAAGGTAAGATTCCATCTTTCTTCAGCCAAGTCACTGCACTAGATGCGCATATAGTCATAGTAGTCGACCCACAATGCCTCTGCTCTATACTAAAATACTTTTGAGTCCAACTACCGTCCATGTACGATCCATACTAGATCTGAATGAGGGTGAATCAGCAAGGACCACCTTGCAAGAATAAATAATCCTGAGCGACCGATAACAAAGTAGGACCGTGAGGCAAGGGTGAAAAGAACCCTATCACGGAGTGAAATAAAGGATGAAACTGTAAGCTCCCAAGCAGTTGGAGGAGCCCGAGGCTCTTATTGTGTGCTTGTTGAAGAATGAGCGGACGACTCATAAGCAGTGACTTGGTTAAGGGAACACACCATAGCCATAGCGAAAGCGAGTCTTCATAGGGCAATTGTCACTGCTAATGTACCTGAACATGGGTGATCTATCCATGACCACAATGAAGCTTGAGTTAAACTAAGTGGAGGTTCGTCGTATCCAAGTGAAAGGTTATCCCAAGTGGATGCTAAGATAGCAAGCTTATAAGTTGAGTTAGCCCACAGGGATACTGGCTGATGTTGAAGAATCAACATATAAGTTATGATTAGGGATGAAATACCACTCGAACCCAGAGCTAGTCAGTTCTCCTCATGAATTGACACAAAAGCACTCACCTCCTTTTTCATATACTCACTCCAAACTACCAATTATGCTTCTTATCATCTATGTGAGATGATGAAACTCAACTTTATTTCAACATTTAATATTTGAGAATATTCAAACCTCATGTTGTCAAGTTATAATAAGTGGGGTTTTTTATTATGTATTAGTACAAATAAAAGTATAATCATTTAACTATTTTTAATATATCATCAAATATACATTAAAATATTCATCAATAAAAAATGATTATTTTATCTATTAATGATATTATTTTTCAATTAATGAGAGAAATGGTACATAATGTGTTTTTATCATAAAAAAAATTTAGTTATTAAATTATCATGTAAATAAAATATATGTATTGATCTAAATGATTATTATATACACTTATTGATACTAATTTTATTTAAAAAATGAAATTTTATTAATTAATCATAAAACACATTATAATTCATAATAACAATAGATTGATCGTCAAACATCATTAATATCAACTATAGAAGCAAAAGATAGATAGAAATAGCCTGCAAAAGCAATTACACGAATAACAATAACAAACATAAGTGAATGATAAAAAAAAACCCTACAAAAACAGATAGATATAACACTGGCCAATAATTTATGTTTGTTTATTTATGTCAAATAAACTATTTTTTTTAAGTATATAATATTTAAATACGATAAATATAACAAATAAATTCATACATCCTCTTTACTTCTGGTGAAATTTGAACCTGGAGGACTCATATACGCTAGGTCAAAAACCTTTTGGTCAAATAAACTATTTTGAGATAATCATTTTACTCGTCAATGTAGACATTAGGGATGCTCATGGGTTTAGTTGATCGGGTTGAAGACATTTGAACAACCCAACCCAATGCTTACGGTTTGAAAATTCTTAACTCAACCCAACCCAAACCAAAGTGCAACCCAACCCAACCCGTACGGGTTTGGTACATTAAAATATTCTTCTAACTTTAATATGTTATTTTTCTACTCATAGTTTCCTTTTATCATCAACCATTTGATACAACCTATCCATACTTCTTACATATATTACATTGAGTTAGTTTTCTCAATTTACATATATATGTTCACAGTTACTGAACATATATACGAATGAGTTATATAAAGATGTAAATAGATTGAAAATATGTGTATATGAAGAGCGTATGTGATAGTGTAACTGTCTAATGTATATATTAATAGAAATTTAACGATCATATTAAATCCAAAAAATAAAATGTTATCGGGTTCATCGGGTTTGGTTGGGTTCAAATAATAGCACCTCAGTATCAACCCAATACCTACGGTTTGAAAATTTTACAACTCGATTAGACATCGGGTTGCTTCGGGTTGAGTTATTTCATGTTCGGTTGGGTTAATCGGGTTGATCGGGTTTTTGAGCACTCCTAGTAGACATAGTTATTTGAAAAGCATTTTACTCAGTCAATGTAGACATAATGTTATTTTAGTCCAAAATTACAAGGCAATATCCTATCTTATATATTTTGAAACCCTTATAGAGGTTGAACCACAACCATCGCTTCAATTATTGTTCAGTCCAGTAACAGAAAATCAAATTAATACTAATTGATGACCTGTTACGAATTATATCAGTCTTTATAAAGATAAGAATAAAAGAATATGGACGTTCGGGAAGGGTACCACATGTCAATAGGGGTTCCCATAACCTTTTTGTAATGGTACTTTGTTAATGCCTTTAAATTTAATTATCTTTTACGCTGGCACGCATTTTGAATACTTCAAAACCCGACCCAATCGATATTACAATCAAAAAGAGCATGAAGACGACGTAAACCCCAACTAGTCGACAAATGTTATACAGTATTTTCAAGATCGACCATCAGAAAACTCTGGAACCGTTTAAATTTCTTATAATCCATCTACTGAAAAACACTTTTTTCCAAGTTACAGATTTTTACGTAAATAATCGTTTTATTATTTGGATCAGAGGACAGATTTACATACATCTTTTCATTGTCTCAAAACTCTATTTCTACTTACGAGTGAGATATACACGGTACGTTTAAACTCGGAGGAAATATATTTTTATATACTAAATATTAATTAAAAAATCACAATTTTTAATAAAAATTAATGATATTTATGATAATAATTTTTTGTTTGGGTTCGTGATTTCTATAAATACCAGAGATGCTACTGCTTTATTGTCTCTGTTCACCATTTTCGGTTCCCCTCTCTCTCTCTCTCTCTCTCTCTCTCTGACGCAAGTATTTGAATCTAACCTGCAAAACCTGGAGACAAAGCCATTCCAAATACCTTTCTTCTTCCATAGCTTTCAATAATCAACGACGACTTATCGCCGGCCGGATTCTTGTATCGTATGTTTCGATTTCTCAAGAAGATTTTGGTTTCTAGATAGAAGTCGAAGTCGCCGACTGATGATGCCCTTGTTTTGGTAAGCTTACGAAAATCAGAATCTATCTCTATTTCATGTGTGTGATGTACATTTGAATGAATTGATACGGTTTTATGCTAGATTTGGTTGTAATTCGTAGCTGCTATTTGTTTGATTTGCAGAAGGAACATGGAGGAATATTTCTGAGGTTGCCAGATAAAAAGAAGGGGAAAGAAGAAATAGTTGTGGGGGTTAAAGAAGAAGAGGAAGAGACAGGAACAGAGCGAGTGGGTCAGCCATAGGCGAGTCGTTTTCGAAGGTAACTTTAATTTTGTCTCTTTGTCGATTCGTCGAACACCTTGTGTGCTCGACAACCTTCAAAACACTTGTAAACCTTCATCTATGTTTCTCATCCATCTATAATTTCTTTCACATCAATCATCAACAATGGTGATTGGAAACCGGAAATTGGAAACACAATGGATTGAATTGTGGGTATTGGGTTTGGTTAGAGATTCAAGAAAAGCAAGCAACTGGGATGATCTCTCGAGGCATATCGGGATAGATGATTCCAGCAGGCAACTTTGCGATCCATAATCGAAGCTTGAAAAGAAGGGTAAAGCAAGAGTTTTGGGATTAACTCCCACCATTGTTTCCACTTTTCCTTGGTCCCAACAAAAAATCAAAGTCTTGTTATTTCTTTTTCATCTTTCCCTTTTCTGTTCCAAAGATTCTAAAATCTCCTTATTCTTTCTGCTTCCGTTTTTCATGACGCTATCGATCTTTATCGTAAGTTTGTTTTACTTGGTTTTCAATCAATTAAAGTTGAGACATCAGTGTCATAGAAATTAAGCTTTGCACATTTTTATGTTTTTATAAAATATTATCACCGGATGAATATGGTAAGGACCAAGAATCTTGCCCGGTAAGAACGAGACAAAGACCAAGAGCCTTACCCGGTAAGTGAGGGCGACGACCGGTAAGCACTTACCGGGTAAATTGTTGCATGCAATGTCGTTTTGGTGGTCTAAAATCTTACCAAATATGTAAATAATAGTGTTAAATTTTATTGGTAAGCACTTACCCAGTAAGTATTTAGTAAACGACCCCTAAGTGTTTATCGGTTACCGAGCTGTATTTTCTTATTTAATAAAAATAGTAAGGATCAATAATTATATCCGGTAAGAGAGAAGGTATGGACCGGGGGTTTTAACCGGTAAGTGATGATGACGACTCTTATCATGGTTATCGCTTGCCGGGTAGATTTTTGTATACGATACTGTTTTGGTAGACTAAAATTTTACCCAATAAGTAAGTTATAATTTTGAATTTTACTGGTAAGCGTTTTGTAAATGGTTCTTAAGATAGAGATTTTAAAGATTTAGGATGTATTTTTACTATTAATGCTATGTTATGTATATTAAAACAGAGAAAAGAAGATACATAGTAGAAAATGTCTAAAGGGGTGTTTGGAATTGCTTATAAAAACAACTTATTGATTTATTTCAGTATGACACCGGTAATAAGCACTTTGATTTATGGTTTTAAAGAAGTTAAACTATTCTAACTTATAATAAGTTGATAAAGATTTTTATAGAAAATCATAAGTTGTTTTAAATAAGCAATTTCAAATTGAAGAAATCTTTTTAAGGAGAAAAGAATGATATTTAATTCTAGTTAAAGTAGCGACGAGGTTATTGTCAACTTTTTTCAATTAATTTAATATTAATTGATATTTATTATTATAAATTTTTAATTGTAAATTTTTAATTAATATTAATATTAATTTTTAATTATGAATTAATTGTATTTGTTTTCTATGTAGTAAAAAGGAGAAGATGCTGACGTGTATAACGTGCTCAAAGCAGCAGGTAGACGATGAAGGTGAGGAAGTGGGAGCGCGTGGGAATAAAGACGCCGTCAAAACTCTCACTACCCAGGTTACCCTCAAAAACTTTTATTATTATTTTATCAAATATAACTATTTAAAGTTTTTATTTTTTATATTTTTTTAATTTAATTTTTTTATTATAATTTAATTTAGATTTAATAACAAAGTAATTTATTTTTGTTTTAAAATAATTTAAATTTTTATAAAAATAATAATTAAGTATTATGTTGTGACTGAATGATGATCTTAATTATATTTTATTTTTTTTTATTTTTAAAATAAGATGTTTATCCTTATTTGATTATGTTTGTCTGTTGTTAGTTACACAGATTCAAACATGGAGTTTTAATAAGCTGTACATATGCACAATTTAATTGTAATCTTGAATTTTAAGTAACATACAATAAATAATACTTTATGCTTAAAAATGATTTTTAAGAGTTTTTGTTAAATATTTTATAATATAGTATACATATTTATTTTTTATATTAGAATCAAATATTTTTCGTATATTTATAATGCTTCCTGATAAAATTATTTCTAGAAATTAATCAATACTATATTATAAAGCATTTAACAAAAAAAAATTAAAAACCATTTTTTATGCATGAAATACTGTTTATTGATGTATATTTTTGTTAAAATTCAAGATTACAAGTAAATTATGTGATTAAAGTTTTATGTTTGAATTCGTGTAATTAGCTGCAGATAAACATAATCAAATATAGGATAAACATTTCATTTTAAATATAAAAAAATTGAAATATAATTAGGATAATCATTGATATTTAACAAAATACTTAATTATTATCTTTATAAAAAATTATATTATTAAACCAAAAATAGAAAAATGAATTAAAGAAATACATAAAAAACGAGAAATTTTGAATAGTTAGTTTGGTACTAATATCAATATTTTTTTTATGATATTTTCATATTTATATTTTATTCAAAACACATAATCTTTTTCTCAAAACCGTATTATAATATCGACCGAGACAAAATTAAAAAAAAAAAAAAACCTTAAAATCGAGATATATTTCGTTGTATTTTGCATGTATTTTTTAGTTTATTTTAAATGCGATAAGCATACGTATTATTTGTTATTTTATTATTACAATATTTGATTTTAAAGCGATTAAATGTATATAGTCTTCAAGATCTTGTCTGATGATGATATTCCATTTTTGACTGATCATCGTGAAAAGTTGTTAAGATTCTGTTTTCAGGCTTTTGGATTAGGGATTCTTCAAAATAAAAATAAATTAGAGATTTTTATTAAGTGGCAGTTTACCGAACACTTACCTGACTAAGTGTTTATCAAGTCATATTATCTCACCGGATAAATATGGTAGAAGAACCAAAAATCTTACTCAGTAAGAGCGAGACAAGGACCATGAATCTTACCCAGTAAATGAGGCCGACGACTCTTACCACGGTAAGCGTTTACCGGGTAAATTGTTGCATACGATATCGTTTTGGTGGACTAAAATCTCACCCGGTACGTAAATAATAGTGTTAAATTTTACCGGTAAATACTTACCGGGTAAGTATTTGGTAAACGACCCCTAAGTTTTTTTTTCGTTATCTCTCCTTTTATCTATTTTCGAGAAGAGTTTAGCATCGTTGTCGGAGCAAACTTTTATCAGATTTCTATAATTTCTCAAATAACATGAATTTATTACCATTTTCATTAGTCCATTGGATAAAGATTCCATAAAACTTGTAGGTACAAAAAGGTGTTGATATATTTTTTTATCAAGAATGTGTAGAAGTGAAATAAAAGATTTGATAGGTGCAATAATTAATTGGAATGCCCACCAAATGAAGTAATCTAATTCTTGAACTGCCCAAGAAAGCTGATGGCTGTCTGTCTGGCTGCCTTTCTTTTCTCATCAAAATCTTGTTTTCTTTGCTTAATGATTCAGACTTTGTTATGTTACATCATCAAGTGTGGTTTATAAGTACTTTGTATTTGTTTTGTTGAACAGATGAAGGACATGGCATTAAAAGCTTCTGGTTCTTCCAAAGGTAAACCCCCCACAGGCCCAAGCAGTTTCAAGAGAGCACACACAGACTATGATTCCATGTTATCTAAAGGTTATATGCATTCTGGTGGAAGTTCAAGTTCCACCGCGCCTTGGGATTTCAACGCGAATGGAGGTTACGAACCACCTCGGCAATCTGGTCATTTGGTTTTGGATGACGACGATGACCCGACAGAATGGATGGCTCAGGTGGAGCCCGGTGTTCAAATCACTTTTGTGTCCTTGCCCAACGGCGGAAACGATCTCAAGCGCATCCGATTCAAGTAAGAACTTCCGTTCATCGCATACGTTCCACTTGGTTTCCAAGATGAATGGGTTTGAATTATTTCATTTCATAGTCCGAAAACTAGACAGTGCTGAATTAAAACATCTGGTCCCATTTTTTAAAAGTCCATAGGCAGGCCATTACAACCAATGGGGGTGGGGTGGGGTGGGGTGGTCCTTCCATCTCAATAGCGACACTATTTTAATGTGGTAGGAGTCTTGTCTGTCTAACACCAGTTGTACACTTTAGATCCTCACCTTATGGTACCTGATGAAACAGAACACAATACCAAAACTTCATTAAAAATGTATTTTTAATTATCCCACCAAAACTGGTGAAATTACTAAACTACCCATGCTAAATTGAAACTCTAAGACCTTTCAGAGTTCTTTCACCCCGGTTACCTCACTCTCGCCCATCCAATCCGGTTTTGTCTACGTATAGCGTACGAACCACACCCTTATTTCACTCGTCATCATTATTATGTTACATAGCGAGAGTGAAACGCACATCCCATTCCTAGACACCCTTTTAGATGGGAATATGGGATGTATTGGGTTCGTTTGGTTGGTTTATAGTGAGTTTTACAACCGCATGCTGATGTTTCTTGAATTTTCTTGAATGGAAGTCGAGAGATGTTCGATAAATGGCAAGCGCAGAGGTGGTGGGGAGAGAATTATGACCGAATCATGGAGCTTTACAACGTTCAGAGGTTCAACTGTCAAGCTCTTGACACACCCTCTAGGTCGGAGGACGGGGTAACCTCTCTTCCTCCCTTTTCCATCATGATTCCGGAACAAGTCTTGGATTTGGATAAAGAGATTTATTATGTTCATCAACTTTGCAGAGAGACTCGACCTATTCAAGGTTTGGATCAGTAAGAGACAGCCCGATGATGAACCCGATAAGGAACAATTACTATAAACCTCCAGAGCAAATTAATCATTACAATGCATCATCCATGGATGCATCAAGAACGACAACATCTTCTCGAGATGAGACATCAGTTTCAATCAGTAACGCCAGTGATATGGATTCGGAGTGGATAGAGGAAGACGAGCCGGGTGTTTACATTACCATCAGACAGTTGGTAGACGGAACCCGAGAGCTCCGGCGTGTCAGATTCAGGTAAATCCTCTACTACCACCATTTGGTTCACTTGTTTCATCGATATCCTGACAAGTGACGACGGTATCAACTGTATGCAGCCGTGAAAAGTTTGGAGAAGTTCATGCAAAGCAGTGGTGGGAACAAAATCGGGAGAGAATACAATCGCAATACCTTTAACGACAATCATACGCTTACGTACTAACAGATGAAGAAGGACGGGGAGTCGACAAGCCTTCGGCATCATATACGAGCATTTTGTACTCATGTCTCTTTCGTTATTTGCAGTAATGTTGTATTTATATTTGGGAACAGAAAGTAGGAGGTTTGTTGGGACTTAACAAGCTAAGAAGATTATGTACATTTGGGGTAAAACCTACAAGTTCTATTTAAACAAAATGGTTGCAAATTTTATGCCATGATGAAGGATGCATCTTAACTGGATTCAAGCAGAATATGGGGATTTTTATTTCTTCTTGGATTTGAACCTGACATCTTCAGGTATTTTGACCTTTGGAGTTCAAGTTTAAACCAATCAGGCACCACCCTTATGGTTTATCTGACTGCTATTTGTCTTTGTACTCTAGAACTCGACTATTTTCTTGGTTTTTACTTCTTTGGCCCAGAGTAAAGGGATGTTTACTTGCGGCTTAATTAAGCTTATTGATCTATCTGGCTTATTCGCACAGTTCGTTTGGGTTGTTTACTTACGGCTTATTCGCACAGAACATGGCTTAATCGTACAGATAGAAATAGTGTGTTGTCCTCATTCAGCCACAAACATGACACCCCTACCCCTATTTAAAGCACTACATCCTTCCCATTTGAGACACCCCATCGTCGGCCTCTTTATGATTTTGCGTCTTTATGTTCAAATAATTAATATTGGGGGGTAAATCAGTCATTTGTGTTATTCAGACTGTTGGTTCAGATAAAAAAAGTAAACAACAACACTCATTTATCCAGACAGACAAATTTATCCGGACAGACAATTTATTCATACAGGATTTAATAAAAAATTGGTAAACAACCCATAATTCTTATTCTTATCTATACTATATTATAAAACATTTGACAAAAACTCTTAAAAACCACTTTTTTATGCGTAAAGTACTGTTTATTAATGCATATTACTTAAAACTTAATATTACAAGTAGATTGTACGTAAGTACAACTTATTAAAACTCCATATCTGAATCCATGTAACTAACTACAGATAAACATAATCAAATACAGATGTAAATCTCATTTTAAATATAAAAAATCTAAAATATAGTTAGGATAATCATTGAATTCTAATAGAATAATCAATTATTATCTTTTATAAAATGTTATATTATTAAACCAAAAATAAATTATTTCGTTATTAAACTTAAATTAAATTATAATAAAAAATAAATTAAAGAAATTATAAAAGATGAGAACTTTTAAATAATTGATTTGATATTAACATTGATATATTTTTTTTTCAAATTTATATATTATTCAAAAATAAAATTATTATTATTTTCTTAAAAACACATAAAATCGTATTATAACATCAACAAAGACAAATAATAAAATAGAACACTAAAATCGAGATGTGTCTCGCTGCATTGCACGAGTACTCTTCTAATAATTGTTAATGGATGGGTTCATCAGACGATTTGATAGCTTCTATTCCAATATCATTTTAATTGTGTTGCATAAAATAATTTATGGGTTTTCAGTTCCAATTTGCTTATGAACCACGTTTATCTAGCAAGTAGTCAACACTTTCACTTAATTTACCGGGTATGGTTTTACTTCATTAAAACGACATTATATGAAACATTTTTATCTGATAAGCGCTCACTGAGTAAAAGTGTTACTCTCAGTTACCGGGTAAGACCCTCGGTCCTTATTCTCATTTTTACTTAGTAAGATTCTCAATATTTGTCATATTTATTCGATAAGGTAAAATGATCTAGTATACACTTACCGAGTAAGTATTTAGTAAACAACCCTTTGGTTACGACTTCTTTATTGTTTTAGTTTGTTTTTATTGTTTAGCTTTCACATTTTAAATCAAGCATTTTTTATGAACCAAAGCCTAGTTCTTAGTTGATGTTGGAATCATAATGTATTTATTAAGTAATTAGGGTTGGGTTGATGTGAGAAAGAAAGTTAAAGTGAAAAGGATAAGAATCTTTGAATCAATCTTAATTGAGGATTAACATTAATGAGATGCACCAGATCAATTCTCATGAGAAGTACAATTCATGAGTGAGGGTGAGATTAAAAGTTATCAAGGGTCTGAATCTCTTCTAGTATTTCTCATTTTAACTCTTTTTTTCTCACATGATCCTTCGTCTATTTATAATATCTTAAATTATGCATACATATGTTATGAGAATGTTTGCCAAAGTTCGTTACGGGTGCAATCGCAAGACATATGACCAAACACAAGCGTGTCACACTATGTTTGATGCAATATTAGACTATAATTAAAAAGTTGAGTAGGGCAGTTGCATTTTTTTTTTGTCCTACCAAAAATAGGCGGAACAAAAAGTTGGGAGATTCAACAAGTAAATTATTAAAATACTCATGTCCGACGTTCTGAAAGGCTCGCAAGTCACAAAAGTTTGGCTCAAGCCTCGTATACAACGCCACATTAACCTTTCAGATGGGCATAGCCTAATGCATGATTTTTTTTTATTAACCTGGATATCCAACCCGCTATGCGAGCCGACTAATTCCAAAACAACCACCTGTTTTTCAAATAGCCCGGAGTCACCGCATTTGAACCTCCGTGGTCACAAGAGGACTTTTATTCCTCCTTGAATTTGAACTTGAAACCTCCTGGTACTTTTAACCTTTGGAGCCAAGCTCAAACCAATCAGACACCACCCTTATGGTTCTAATGCATGATTTTTGTAACACTTCATTTAAATTTTCCCCTTTCTTAGTGTCTTACTTAAACATATATACCTAATTCAAATTATTTAATATCATCGATTCATTGAGTAATAATAAAAAATGTATATATATAAAATAATATTTCACACAAAATTCAAGGATTCTTATACAAAAACTCAAAAAGACATGGATGACTTACAAAACCTACATTTAAGAACCAACCATCAAAATAGTTTGACAACAATAAAAGGCCCATAATATATACAAATCCAAGATGAAAGGCAGCAAAGCAATCATAACACAAAATCATTTTTTATAATAATAAATAATATGTCAAAGTAGTCCAACAAACTTCTGGAATTGGGTAAAAGGAAGCCACACAAAACACACATAATTTATATAAGTAAAACACAAACACACACACACACACTAGCAGTAGCAGTACAAGACCTCACTTTATCTATTATAAACTATATTTATTAATACCATTTGAATTGATGTTAAATCCCCATTCAGTCATCCTGCCACCTTACCGCAATACCCTCTACGCGGCTGAATATCGCGAGACTTCCCAGTATAGAAATCAGATCGCGCATTCCGTATCCCGGCTTTTGCAGGTGGAGGAATATATATCCGCTGCTGCTGCTGCTGCTGCTGTCTAGGAGGCACTCTAGTAGAACCAATGGTCATGTGTACCAACTTCTCAGCAGTATCGGAAACGCCACCACTTTTTCCAATCAACCCTGCTGCTACATCCAAGAGAATGGTTTTTTTTCAGTCCAACAGATTTCATACAACCGATCAATGAAATTACTAGTTGTGTACCCGTGCGATGCAACATGATGCAAGACTTAAACAGATGATTTTAGAATCAATGCGATTTCACGTTAAAAGACGATAAAGTCCAAAGTTTATGTCTAAATAAAATATATTTTACATGTGGTGGTTGAAATATCTTGCTAAATTGAAGACCTTGTAAAATGAACCAAAAAAATATATCAACATTGGTTTGAACTACAGATTTTAAACTTCTTGTTTTTGGTATAGTTCATTTAATTAAGATAATTTAAGAAATAAGGATGTACTTCATTTTAGATTTAATTATTGGGCATTTCTTTGTGATAAATATAATGATGAAGTATCATGTTGTATTACTAGGGTTCAATGATTATCCTTTATTTGAATGTGTTCATCAATTGGTTATTAGTTAGTTGTATGGAACTCAAAAGAGTTCTAAAAACTTCTACATAAGCAATAATTACTTGTAAATTTGAAATTTAAGAGATTTATGCATTACTAAGCAATACATAATCTATACTATATTAAAGCATTTGACAAACTCTTAAAAATCATTTTTTATGCATAAAATACTGTTTATTGATGCATATTACTTAAAATTCAACATTACAAGTAAATTATATGCAAGTACAACTTATTAAAGCTTCATGCTTGAATTCGTGTAACTAACTGCAGATAACATAACCAAATAGAGGATAAACATCTTATTTCAAATATAAAAAATCTAAAATATAATTAGGATAACTATTGAGCTCTAACAAAAATAAAAAAATGAAATAATATAATAAAGAAATACACAAAGAAACGAGAAAATTTAAATATTTAGATTGGTACCAATATCAATATTTTTTTTCCAATTTTTTACGATATATCTTCATATTTATATTTTATTCAAAAATAAAAACATCATCGCTTTCTCAAAATCACACCAAACCATATTATAACATCGACTGAGACAAAAAAAACGAAACAATAAAATCGAAATGTATCTCGCTGCATTGTGCGAGTATGGTTCTAGTGCTTATTAAATTGTTTTGAGATCTTTTACTGGAAAAGCTTTAGAATATGGTATAGATAGATATAGCAAGAAAGTTCTTACTTGTATTATTGTTCTTTCCAGAAGTTTGGTGTTTTGGTTGTCTGGTAGCACTCCTATAAGGCTTTTCATTCTTGACTCCACCCTGATAATTCATTTCCAGTTTACGAAGCACATCTGCAGTAGAATTTAAAAACTGTATATGAGAACCTCCGAGTAATCACATTGCAGAGAAACAATATAGTTCAATAAAAGTTGGTTTAAAATGGAAATTTTGTCTAAGATCTAATATAATCCTAGAAAGAAATTGGATTCAAACCCATTGTTTCTAAATCTTTAAAAAGGAAAATAGTTGTCCTCATAGAGATGGTCTCTGCTGCACTCTTGGTTTAAGTGTGTCTGACATTCTATGTTGAGGGCATGAAATATTTTATATGAATTTTATATCACAATTGACAAAGGATGACAATCACAAGAATTAGGGTGAGGGGTTGTTTGTTTACCTCTTAATAGTTACAATAAGAGGCAGTCTCTGAATCGTTAAGAGGTGAATCTTGTTTGGCAAAAAAAAAGTCTGTCTCTTAATGGTTCTAAAACCCTCTGAATGATTTTGTATCATGGGTCTCCTTTAACCATTCAGCACCCTAGTTTCATTGTAAACAATTACCAAACAATTATATTTTATTTTGCCTATATCATAAGAGCCTCTTAATCATTCTGACCATTTAATCATTCTGCAACAAACCATTCAGCAACTGCCAAACTGCCCCTAAGAGTAATTTTACCATGATCTTATTTACGTATAATTCAAACATGTTTATTTAAACAATTATCCTAACAATATTTTTATTAGTTTTGGGAAATTTTCTGATTATTCTATTTATTACTAGGATAATGATTACGACTATTGTTGGTGTTTAGCTTATCATTTATTATTCATTATAGGAATAATTAGTAGCTCCTATCCTTTCTATCTGTTAGTTTTTAGCTTCATTATAAATTAAGCCACAATGATTACGGCATCTTTTTCTTTCATCGCGTGGAATCAGCCTCCTATATGAGATGCTTCTACAATGCGAAGCTCCTAAAACCTACCTTTCGTATCTTCTAAGGTCATCCATCAAAGACGACCAGAGAACCAAAATCATATGCTTATAGCATGCTTATTAAATCAGTTGGTCTTAACTACAGACTAGTAAATTAATAAATGTGAAAATTTTCACAGATAAAAAATAACACAAACCAGAGAAATTATTCATCATTGTCATTAAAGATCATTACAACAGTTTTTCAGAGAAATAGCATGTATAAATGTTGATCTTCCAGTTTACTATTGCTTAATGCCAAAGTAGAATAAACTCCCACCTATTTATTCAAAAAGTAAATGAATGCTCACAACTGTGTAAAATCATCTCATCAATACATTACCTGTGCCCAAGGATGCATGTACTTTTGCAGATGAAGTAACATTTCCTGCCGGCTTCACATTTGACGGAAGGCCAGAATACCCTGTTGCATATTTCTGCTCCATGGATCTCCTCCCGTTTAATCCAACTGAAAAATCACATGCAGTCAGTAACTCATACAAAAGATCGTTAGTTATCCCAAAATATTTGAATTGTCAAAGCCCAAAAACACACCAGATAGAGGCATCCTAGAAGTAGCAGACTTAGAGCGAAGAGATGGGGGAATGTAGTAGCAACTCTGCAGATTAGAAAAATTATCTATTTTAGTGATCTCTCAGATCTTAGTAACTATTTCTGTCAATATTTTCTAACTTGATAGGAATGGATAGCTACCTGGAAGAAAGGGTGCTGAAGGGCCTCCACAGCTGTTGGCCTCTTGGATGGATCCCAAGAACACAGAGCCTACATAGCAGAGAGATGGTAACATGATGATGAATGAAGACATTTCAGTATCAAATTTAATTGCATGTTATCACAAAGTGTTGAAGTTCAAAAAGAAACAATAAATCTGTACTTACAGATATCAAATTGATTGCCTCCTGGCTTGCAGATGGTATTAATGTAGAAAGATGCACACCAGCGAGCTGCAATGCCAATTTAATGATTTATAGTAGTGGGTCAGGAGTATTTCAGCACAAGTTGATTGGTAAAAATCCTCATACTTGTCTAGGTTGAGGGAACATATGCGACCATTAAATATCATGATAGCACAACACCTGTAGTTGCTAAAAATAAAGACCTAACATCATAGAAGCAGTAACAGTTACAGCCAAGAATACTTGAAAAAAATAAACGAAACCAAGTCGCTTTTTTAACGAATTCTGGACTTTCGTGTTTTTGGACAAATATACTTAGTTTAATTTAAGAAGCAACTGACATCTAATGATGGCAAGGACAAGATGAACTAACCTCTGGAAACCGATAATTGATTGCACTTGCCAGTTCAAGTCCCTCATGCCATGTGTTTTCTGTTGGGCTGCCTATCACACTGCAGATTTTGTAAATTTCATCCGCTTCGCTGCAGATGAAAAGCACAGCATAAATTCAGTTCCCACATGCCCCCAAAAATCACATAAAAAGAGAGAAGATAGCATGTGATAGCATTACAAAGTCTACGTCATGATACAGGCACATTTAAATGCAGAACAGAACACTGAAGGAGAAAACTATAGAACATCTATACAGGCACGAGTTCTATTTATAAGAAGACATACTAAATACCTTGAACCCGGAAAAAGTGGACGGAGGGTAAATAATTCGGCCATGATTGCACCCATTGCCCATAAATCTGTGATTGAAATGAAATTAACAAGTTACATCCCACAACCATAGTTATACGCTTGGTGAAATAAGACTATGAAATTCCATCAACTCACCAACGGCAGAGCCATATGTTGGTGACTGGAGAAGTACCTCTGGGGCCCGATACCTGGAAAATCCAAGTTGCAGTAACTAAGAAAAAGCAAGTAGCAGGAAGGTAATACAATGAACAATAAGAATAAAGAGACAAGGTTTTAGTGAATATGACAAGACATAGAGCGAAAGAACAAGACTCACCAGCGTGTTGAAACATACTCGGTGTATGGTGGTTGGGATGTAATCTCACGAGCAAGACCAAAATCAGCTAATTTTATCACCCCCTTAGAAACAAGCAAGTTCTCTGACAACATGAATGCATTAAGAAACAATTAGACATATCACAAATTAATCGAAAGGTAATATAGAATGCTGAAAGAAAATCTCAACAGAAGGGTTCAAAAATGTGCACAAATATATAAATGAAATTATTGATCAAGTAAGAGAACCTCAAAGTTACTTCAAATGACAAAGCAACCACATACTAAACCAGTATCTACAATTAAGGATTCACCATTAAGGCCAAAAATTTAAGTACAAAAACAAACTACGCGGTATTTACACAGGACAACCTTAAATGAGAGGTTGTAACATGAAAATCTGTTAATTGTACACACACACAACATAGTCCATTATAACCTAGGTCATTTACAACACAAAATGAATTCATTCATCCTCTAACCATCACCCCGATGTATTCATTATCAGAAAATACCTGGCTTAAGATCACGATGGAAGTAGCCATGCTGATGCATGTACACAAGACCTTGAAACACGTGGAAGCACCAGTTTCTAATTTCAGTTTCCGAAAAAGGCTTCACTCTGTCTTTCATATGCTGGTAAAGACTGCATTCCTGGAAGAGAAATATAATAATATTTATAAAAGTAACCTAAAAGCAAACGACAACTGATACACACAATAAGAAAAGGCTGCATACCATATATTCAAAAACGAAGTACAAAATGTCATTTTCTCTAATAACTTCCTTGAGCTTCACAATATTCGGATGATTCATCTTACGCAGTGACTGTCGAGAGTCAGAAAGTCAGTTTGTGAACAGGAAGCTAGAGCAAAAACATGAAACGATGAAAGTGATGTTACCTTGACTTCTCTCAAATTTATACATTCTTCCCAAGAATAATATTTTCTCTTCATCTTCTTAATGGCAACCTGTAACCATAATACATCAACTTTAAGAAAAGTGATCACTTAATTTTACAAGTTTTTAAACACTACATATTAGTTCCAGAATGCTTTGTTAATCAGGGAAAACCTACCACTTCACCGTTATGCTTATTCAATGCTCGCCATACAACCCCAAAGGTTCCATCTCCAACTTCCTTGATTATATTGTACCTGGGCCAGAATAATAAAAACACATGATGGCTCAGTTATGATTTCACATCGCAGTTAACCCAGAAGCACAAATAAGAATCAGCTCACCTTTCCATTTTCACGTTTACAACTGCAGGTAGCGCTTTATTTATGAAGAAGAGACACAGACATAGAAGAAATAGCACACCTTATCTAGAAAAATACAGAACTATAAAATATGAACTACCAGCCTGGCTGTTCTAGCTGGATCCACCTTCATTCTTGATGCATGAGCAGAACTGTATACTTCTGATGGAAGGTCCTCACAGCCTTATTCATAAAAGACACCAGATCAACGACATCGAGACCATTGACAAGGCAAAAGAAGCAAAGATGATTGAGAAACGCAGGGCATCTTGACACTGATCCAGGAATAGATATAAGCAGAAATCTTGTAGCCAACAGTAAGACCTCCAAAACACTGTCTTGGACTTCAAATGGCTATCTCATTTACTCTACTTGAATTCTGTTGCAAAATCTTCGGCCAATACTATTGTAGATCTAACTGACACCATCAGAAGAAAGGACGAGTATTGCTACAATTAGGGTCGCACCAACAATCTCATCTACTAATGGTGAATGCAGCATTTACAAGCAAGGTTCAGCCCTGCCGTTTGAAAATAGAAAAATGATTTCAGAACCACAGAACAGGCAAAGACAGAAGGACAACTGAAACAACTGATGGTCATACATAATACATTAAACTCCTTTCTTCAGCAGATAGCTATGAAAAAAATGACGTGGATATTATATCAGCATTGCAATGGTGTCCAAATTGTTTGCAAACGTGATCAATATAAACAAGAAAAAAGCTCTGTTTCCACAAGTAAATGCTAACATAGACCTAGTTCAAGAAAGCAATCAAATAACTTACTTGATGTACATGACATATCCGACACCTGTCTCAGGAAAAAATTGCATTACGCCTGCTTAACTGCTCATATACCGTGGACTCACTAAGTGCAGTTGAAGGAAACAAATTGGAAACCTCCAAGGATGAGAAAACGCCAATCAAGCACTTCCTGGAATGAAAAAACCTGTCTCTGGAAACAACCTGACCAGGGGCACACTTGCTCCATGTCTCAGAAGAGATTAAAACTTTTCCACGCTGACAAAATATAAAAATTAACAAAAATTAGTATGAACTTGGTTATTGTCATCTATAAACAACTCTATGGACACACCAACACAGCTAAAATTATATACACATAGTGACTCAAATAGCAACCCTGTGGCAGGCTGGCAGCTAAGCTTTTTTTCTTTTTTAAAGTGTGATACTTGTTTGATTGGTGTCATTCAGTCAGGGCTGTTCATGTGGTTCAGTTGAAAGCAAGGGCCAAATGTTCGAGGTAAAATTTATGTCCAATTATGCTATAGAAAGTGAAAGAGACGAAATCATGCAAATAATTCTTTTGCTCAACAGTTTTGACTAGCATTGGACAATAAAAAGAAGTAAAGGAAAAATATAACATGAGCTTAAGTGTGTGATATATTATATATATACAATGAATCCTTTTCTATTATCGTTTTTGTTTTATAATTACATATATTATCCATATGCATAAATACACAACCCTGCATCCATGATTCTAATTGCTGAACTCCATTTCTCGCACACCATGTCAGTGCAACATATCATAAATACTTGTTGGACGGTTATTCCATATTCTTGTCCTAAGGCCAAGTTCATAAACAATGTTCATAATAAATATTAGCAGATAAACAATAATGTTCACAGAAAAAGCATCCCATATGAGCTTTCTGTTATCCTCGCTCACCACATACCCCACCTGATTCTAGAAAAAAGAGGTCTAAATTCACAAATGATGATTGACCTCTAAGAAGAATTTTTCTAATTCAAATATGCATGTCATTCTGATCTAATTTTAGAAATTGGTTTGTTTTTACTCCATGAAATTCAACATAAGTTACAATCAGACATACAGGTTGAAAATTGGTTCGTAGCAGAGTTAAATTTCAATTTCTCCAACTTAAAAATGTTCTCATGTTCATTACAGCAATGCACATTTGCAATACTGAATCATGTGTTTATCAGAGATTGTAATAATGTGGGCATTAAATAAAAACAAATGTCAAGTGATACTAGCACGTGTTATACAAAGTTTATCTATCAAGGGTAGGTCTTACGTTTCACAAAATCTTAGGAAATTTCAATGTTACTATTACATCATATATCTTCTAATCTCTCAATTGTCAAATGCTCCCAAAAACTCTTTAATCATCAAACATAACTGTTCTAGTTTATATCCATTGAGATGAACAATACTGCAGTACCAGATGTTCAACAGTAACGAAATATGGGCCCTTAATGAAACAAATGCAACAAGGGTGGTAACAAAGCTAGTGATAATGTCACTCCTCACCCCCTGCACTTGATGCAGGCTCACATCTATTATCCCCTGAAATAAAATTTGGTTAAAAAATGAACATTCTTATTTCATAAAAGGGCTCCACTTCAGTAAGAGGGGATCAAAGTACATAGTTTTCCACTTTGAACATACAAACAGCATATGTATAGAAGACCATAATGCTGACATGCAAACATTATTCATATCTAAGTAAGAAATTATACTTGAGGGAAGCTAAATTGCAATTGTATAGGCATTTAAATGTGTGCTTGCATAATTTTGCCACGTCCCTTTTTCCTTATTGGTTGGATTTGCATATTCCAGTCGCAGCCAAATAATCTGATTGAGACATTGAACGTCCAAGAGTTTGAAAATACGCTCTAACAAATTTGTGTACCACTTGTAACTCACACTTGTATTTCCAAAATATCAACATAGATAATCATTTTGTGGTCACTGCGATTAAATGACGATTGACAAGGTGAAGTACTAAATTTAGCATACATCAAATATAAATAGAAACTAACGACCACTGTTCAACAGAGTGCTACAATAGACAAGATTCGATCTGAAATCCTCTGAAAATTACTTTAATATTTTGTATCCATCGAGGTCTAGGAGACCTTATTGGCCCTCCGGCCCCTAAGAAGAAAAACACTAGAAACAGATCAAACCAAAATGACATGATACGAAATACAAACACAAAGCAAATTCACAACATATAAGATAAGGGATTTGCATATCTTACAGTTCGGTCAATTGATAACCTTAGTCTTTTAGTCTATGGAATTAACCTCCAATGACCACAAATCAACAAATATTTATTAAAAATCCTACGAGAAAAATCCTACCACATTAAAAATCAAAATTTTCAGCTGGACAAACGGATACCAAATTAACCTATCAAAACGGCCAAAATACAAAATCGATAAAATCCCAAATTCCCAATAACCCACTCCAAAACTAGATCAAATCAACCTGATCCAAACGCAAAACAATAAAACATCACAACAATTGAGATTGAATTTCATGAAATCATCAACAAACAACCAATCAAACCTGAAAAATCCAATATCACAAGGACAAAAGCAAAAAGAGAAGGAAAAATACCTGATGTAGGGCAAACGGCATAACCTTCGGGTAGCCACAGGAGGGCAAAGGCCTAACTCCAGGGTCTGAAATGGAGAGAGAGATAGAGATGAAACACCCCCCACCCACCGCTTTCTTCAATGTGTTTTGTGCGTCTTCTCCTTCACCTTGTGGGCAGAAAAAAACGAATAAAATACGAATACGAGTAAACCCTAATATTTATACATGGAGTATATGCCTTACGTTTTGTTTGGATGCGGTGGGGTCTACTCACCGTATGGTGAGGCCGACCTCATATGCCTCCGTTTGGTCGCACGCCACCACCATCACCCAATTAAATGGATATTATTTGGTAATAATATCTCACCCCATTTTTTCCTCTTTCAATAATATATTTTAATTAAAAGTATTAATTATCTATTTAATTGTATATATTTTTTTAATTTTTAATCAAATTTATTTACACAAATAATTAAATAAAAATATTTGTTTACCTCTTAATAGATTCATTAACAAAGTTTTTAAATCTTTAAGAGGTGAATCTTGCTTGATAAAAAAAATCTGCATCTTAATGATTCTAAAATCCTTTGAATAATTTTGTATTTTGGGTCTCCATTAACCATTTAGCGCTTTAATTTCATTGTAAACAATTACCTACAATTATATTTCATTTGCACTATATTATGAAATCCTCTTAATCATTTTACATCAACCATTCAACAACTGTTTATTTAATAAAACATTTCATAAAAGAAATTTGTTTTGTCTTGTTTGGTTTATCGAATAACACATAAGTTCTAAGATATATAATGATAGATCAAGGGGTCATAGATTTAACTAAAATCCAATTTAAAGTCATAAACTCAAAGGGTTGTTTGTTTACCTCTTAATAGTTTCATTAAGAGACAGTATCTGAATCGTTAAAAGATGAATCTTGTTTGGCAAAAAAAATCTGTCTCTTAATGATTCTAAAACCATCTGAATGATTTTGTATACTGGGTCTCCCTTGACCATTTAACGCCCTAATTTCATTGTAAACAATTACCAAACAATTATATTTCATTTTTCATTATATCATGGGAGCATCTTAATCATTCTACATCAAACCATTCAACAATTGTTAAACAACCCCTTAATGACTTTTGGGAGAGGGAAGGTAACATGTGTTTCTTCAAATATACCAGACATGTATTGGGCATTATCTTTTTATTATAGTAAGGTATGAAATATGTAGCCTGATAATATTTTGCATATGTTGTATAAATATGCAGGCAATATTTTTGCTTATATATGAAATAGTTGTTAGACGATTAGTCCAGAACAAATTCTAAAGTTTCTTTTTGGACTGGTTTTGAAACGGGTGGAGCAGAGACTTGAGATCAATTACGTCCGAAACTGTGGGGTTGTTTATCAAACATTTACTGGTTGTCACTTACCTTTCGGTTGAACATGACAAGAACCTAGAATCTTGCTCGATAAGAGGCATAGTTAGAACCGAGAATCATGCTGACACACCTGGTAAGTGAGGGAGAAAACTCTTATTCGGTAAACAGTTAACGACTAAAAGACGCGTACAACCAATTCATTTTGATGATCAAAAATATTACCTGATAAGGTAAGTGATAGTAGTGGCATATAAATGGTTACCCGGTAGATAGTAAATTTTGGACCTATTTTGAGCGCAATTAAAGGACCATTTTTTATTTTTTATATATTTTTGTATTCTTGTATTCCACTGCAGATAATATTTTAAGGTATTATTAGAAAAATAAAATATGTTAAAGTTGTTAAATTAATACAAATAGGGGTGAGCAATGGAAGGATCGGGCCCAAAACTGCAAACCCGATCGGGCTTCAGGGGAGAAAAATGGAACCCGAACTCCGAACTTTGTAGACAAAACCCGTGGGTTTTGGGTCAGGTCAGGCCGAGTTCGAGGCCTAGTGTAATTCTTTTCCCCTTTTTTCAGTTTTCAAGCTTCCTGTGATCCTATGTATTTCCAAGACTATGGTGCCATGGACAGTGGACGACAGTGAAAACATGGAAGGTGGATTGTGGTGGTGGTGGCTGGTGCGTCATTCGACAAACATGAGACAGCAATGGTTGAGTCGTGGTAAGGATTGAGGAGTGAGGAGTCGAGGTAAATTAGGTTAAGAGAATGGGAGGAAATTAGAAAAATGATTTAACATATAGGAAAAGGGGGGAATATAATAAGAGGTCGGGTCGTCGGACGGGTCAGGGACCGAAACCGGATACCCAACAAGATCCTACTTACCCGCGAAGAATAATAGGTTTCAGGTATCGAGATCAGGTATTTTACGCTTTTTTGGGTCGGGTATCCGGGTTGGCAGGTTTTGCTCACCCCTGAATGCAAAAGCACTAAACTTGTTATCTCAAAACTATTATAAAAATGTTATTAAACATTAAACCAAATGTTAAACAATCACCCAAAGAGGAATGAAAAAATATCTTGTTAAACACAATAAAATAATAATAAATAAATAATCGGGTGGGGGTCCCGGATCTGAGAGCGAGGACCGAGCCTAAATATGGAAATCCAGAAGTAGGCCCAAAGAGATCCGATCATTTTGTATTATCTCCACCGCTCATGTGTGGTCTATATGTTTTTGTTAAAATTGAACACAAGTGATGCCACACGTATTTTCACTATATATATAACATGAAATTTTTTGGGCATATTCTTATTCAAAATACACAAAGGGGTTGTTTACTTACAGCTTAGTGGGTTGGACAGCTTATTTGATCAGCCATATAGGAGTGTTTCTTTATGGCTTAATTGTGAAGTCATTAAATGAAAAATGGCTATATGAAATAAGTCAGGACCCCTCACTTGTCCCCATTAAGCCACCTCAAACAAATTAACACCACAAAATGCCCCATAATTAATCCAACCCTCTTTCTTTGCCTCCCTCAAGCCCATCAGCCTCCCGTCCCTCATACAGAAAAATTTATCCGGACAGACAACTTAACTCATACAAGACTTAATGAAAAGGATAAAAGTAAACAACCCCTTAGGTTGATACTTCTACAAAGGGTATACCATTCTTGGAAGAGGTAAATCACATGTTCCATGGGCTTATTTTACAAATGTGGTCCCATGATCATGGCCATGAGGAGGTTAATCACGTGTCCCGATGGCAGGTAGGTGGGTGCTACTCCCGATATTTTTCGCTCATTTTGCACACATACCCACCTCCTCCTTACCAGCTAGGCTAAAGCCGCTGGACCACATGTCCATACTTGGGTCAATGGAGAAACCAAATTTGTTGTCCACCTCTAAGAAAACAGCAATTAAGAAGCTCAATTGAACCTCCAAACTGCAAAATTCTTTCAATTCCTATCAAAGGTTTCTTTGACAAACTAAAGGACCGAAATAATCTCAAATCACTGAACTCGATGGTCAATTCAGAAAACGTATTCACGTAATATTCAATTATCTAAATATGTTACAATAACCATGTAACTTGCATACAAACTTGCAACCGAGTAAGCAAAATGCGCATGCTCGTGCACTTCTAGACACAAAACTGACAATAGCGAAAAGAGAAGGATCAAATAATAATGTGCAACAATTGCGTCAAAATCTAGGCCATATGCACATATGATCAGACATATTAAGTGTGAATACAAAATGTGCATAGATACTATATAGCAAACATCAGATAAAAAGAATGTGCTTGCTTCAATTTCTTGATATGGAGAAACTGGAAGAAAAAAGAAAAAGCAAAACCAGAGTTCAATCACATCTTATCTGGTTCAGATAAGATCCTATCAATTTCTTCTAGAAGGCGTTCTTTTTCATCTCTCATCTCTTCATGCTGCTTTTGAAGCTCTTCAATATGTTTGGTCTGTTCAGAAACCTTCCTGAAATGTAGCTTTTTTTACATAATGTCACTCGTAATAAATTTAATTTCTTCTTATCGGTACTTCTTTTGGCCAGTTTTATACTACAACAAAATCGGCTTTATAGAATGCCAAACATGTCTAAATGTTCTAATAGTCTCCCTTATATGAATTAAGTTTATAGGACCAAACAATTGTGTGTCCTATATACATAAGTTAAAATAAGTTGATAGCACACTTTTGGGCGTCCCAACAAGTTCTCAATGATACTTGAAGTAAAGCGTCCAATTAGTCCTTATTATTTGATAAGTGTCTTATAAAAACAAGTATCACATACAAAGATGAGTTCATAAGACACTTCCCAAAAGTGTCATATAAAAAAGCTAATAGAACACTTAGTTTCAAAAGTGTCATAAAAAACTTGTTAGGACGTCCAACAGTGTTGTATCAATTTATTGTAACACTTTTACATAAGACGCACAATTGTTTGGTCCTATAAAGAAGTGTATTAGGACATTTAGACATTTTGGTATCTTATAAAGTCGATTTTGTTGTAGTGTAAACTAATATCCAACCATTTTGCATTCATCCCGGAGCCCGTGAGGTGTCAACCAAGTATCAATATTATTAATATGTATAAGTACCTATTCATGAAAGCTAGGTTAAGTTTAAGTGAACGCATTTTCTTCTCAAGATTTTCACAGCGCTTCAGAAGTGACTGCATGTCAGATGAAGTTGCGGGTGTTTAAGTTCTTCCCTTAGCTTATGCCATTCTGCATCATCAAGACCACATCATGTCAGTGAAAACTACTTGCTGTTTTAAACATGCTCCACCAAAACATCTTCCTTCTTGTACAGAAGTTAAAAAAAATCCCGCATTTTTTCTTCTGTCTGAAACGGTTAAGTAATTCCCACATGACACTTTAACCCACAACCATCAGGTTGAGGAGAAAGAAAGGAACTTGAATACCATCAAGCTAGACGCAGACACTTGCTTAGGGGTGTGCACGGGTTGGATCGGACCATGAAGGGAAGAATCCGATCGGGTATCGGGTTATTTGTAGGATCTCTGCTGTCCACTGCATAAATTAAGACCATTTTACAAAGTTGAGTAAGTTTATATGTTTCTCTTGTAGAAAAAATGATAACTACGCTCAACTATGCAAAAAGTAGCAAGTTTTCAAGATAGAAACTAAAAACTTATATATATTAAACATAAGTGCTACTTAGAAGAATTTTATCGCAGGAAAAGAGAATGTGAATCAACATTTAGGGGCCGTTTACCCGGTAAGCGCTTACCGAGTCACTTATCTTATGAGGTGAGCATGGTAAGGACCGAAAATCTTACTCGGTAAGAGGCATGGCAACAACTGAGGTTCTTACCCCGCTATGGAAAAGACTCTTACCCTGTTAGCGCTTACTGGGTAAGAGGCGCTTACAAACAATCCATTTTGATAACCGAGAATGTTACCCGACAAGGTAAGTGAAGTTGATGACTCTTTCCAGTAAGTATTACCCGATAAACATTTGGTAAACGGCCCTTTAAGCCTTAGCTATAACTTCTTTAGATACTATAAGTTGACCATTATGATGAAATGAACTATGCTTGGCCAGGCCACCCACTTTTGCGTACTTTAAAGTACATAAGTTCATTTTCTTACACTCTTTGCTAATTATTTAGAGACTTTTTATGTTTGCATATAATAGTCATATATTGAAACGACAACTCCATATGTTAGTATCCCCTCGTTCTTATTTACTAATCAGTTTCTGTATGCATATGCTCATGGTAGAAATATATATTCATACTTTTAATGCTATGTTTGGAGTTTTATTCGATAACCATGGGTGTCCGGGCCAACTTGGGCACACCTCAACTCATCCCATGGGCCCTAAAGATCACAACCAGTAAAATCCCCAGTGGCTATGAGGAGACTCAAAACGATGACCTATGGGCAGCTTATTCATTTATTTGTCGGTTGAGCCGACCCTCAAGGTTCAATGTTTGGAATTATCCCACACTAAATTATAACAAAAAATCGCGTTTCATGGAAGGCCCCAACCGATAATGAGCCAAATGACTTCACATACAAAAGATTTGATTTTAACTTTTTTAAAGAGGAACAATATATGAAACAATTTCATTAAATTAAACAATAAAATCGACGGTTATGATTTGTACGAAGGCTTAGTTTACATTTGATCCTTCCCCTGTATATACATGTCTTTGATTACAACTCATCGTCGTCCCCTACCTCCTCTCCATCTCCTCCCACTCACCACCGCACCATTTCCTTCCCTTACCTTTGTATCTCTGACAACCCCACTTTCAAGCCATCTTTTTTTTGAAGTATATAATATTTATATACGGCAAATGTAACAAATAAACTCACACACCCTCCTCATTTATGGTGAGGTTTGAACTCCCGAGCTTCTAGAAGGCCAAGAGCTACGATATCGCTAGGCCAAAGGCCCTTTGATACCTTCAAGCCATCTTCTCTCCTCCATAGCCACCAAATTCTTCAAGTTTCTTCGATCACACCACCACCACCAAGAGATGAATTCACCAAAATCTGCTTCCTAATGCTTTTTATGGATGTTGTCAGGGGCGGACTTGTAGAGGGGGAGCGGGGTCCGTGCACCTGTTCAATCCTATTCTGTAAGGAAAAAAGTTTTTTGAATACAAAAGGTGCATACGCTAAAGTTTGAGGGGTGTTCCAAGATATTTGAGAATTTAGAGGGTTAAAGATGTACAAAAATTATAAAATTTGCAGTTCATTCATCTTGGAAGAACACGGCGGCTCTCTCAATTTTATAAAAAGAAACAGAAGGTAGCTCCCCTGTTCGCACAATCGCAATCACACAGACGCCGATTAGAAAGGGCTGAAAGGCCCGACGCACTCCAGTAGTCCACTTCACTCCGGCCGGTAATTCACTCTCTCAATTTCTCACACTCACTCAATCACCCTCTCAATCTCTCATTCAGGTTTTGTCTCAAAACCTAATTCGAATTTGTCCTAAATTTGATATTAGTCATTTCCCTAAAAATTGATTAGTTATAAATTTATAATGTTATACAATTCTGAATTATGTTTACAGGATTTCATTTGATTTGGTTATATGATTTATTTGTTTGTATCAGTCATTCGCCCTAAACTTTGATATATAGTCTTTGCCCTAAATTGATTAGTTATAATGTTTTACAATTATGTTTAGATGATTTGATTGATTTGTTTACATGATTTATTTGTTTGTTTTGAGTTTTTATATTAGTCTTTACCAAAAAACTGAAAAATTCTCTAACATTAAAAAGTTCCTGGAAATCAACCAAAACACTTTTAAAAAATCTCTTGAAATCAACCAAGAAAAACTCAAAAATTCCCTCAAAATCAACCAAAGAACATAAAAAAATCCTGGGTCCGGATGTTGCTGTGTTTTCAATTCTCTAAATCCCAAAATGTATGTCTTTTTTTAAACACCTCACTGATACTATATGTGATCTTCCAAGCTGATAAATCTTATGGATCCAGGCATCCAGTTAACCCTCATATCTCTTGCTGCTGGTAGTTTTTTTAGTATGGTATATTGATGGAATCCTAGTTTATGCAAATGTTCACCTTCCTAATGTTCAATTGATTGAATTGTTTTTAGTACTGTTATGTTAATCCTGAACTATTCTCTCTGGATGTTTAAGCTTTTTTCTATTATTTTTTTATCTGTTTTCCTTCGTTTAACTTTTCCCTGTTCACAGCTCTGTTGTTTTTTCATTTGTATGTACTTTGGAATGTCAAAAAAATCCTTAGACTTTTATGTATTGATTGATGTGTTACATAAATATGCAAGTCACTCATTCACATCTAAAAGAAGATACTCAGTTTCTTAGCTTTTTAGGAAATTAACCTATTTTTTGATCACCACCCACATAAGCTCTCACACCCAAAACCTTTTTCCACCAACATATCTTCAATTTTGATGGGTACATTGGAGGATGAAGATTAGTGGTGGCATGGGCTAGACATATAGAAACTAACAACACAAATACAACCCCAAAATGTTATGGGTTTAATCTATAGAGATTTTTCATTCTTCAAGGACACAACACATTTGATCAAGTTTGGTTTTGATGTATGAATTGATTTTGATTTGGTTATTTTTATGTAATGTGGTAGTCGGAATTGGTTTGGGAGGGGAGGGGGCAGGAGATGGTTGTAAGTTCTTTGGGATGTTTCTCTCTGTATATGTGTGTATAATATATATATATATATATATATACATACACACACACACACGTGTTAAATTGCTTTGTTATTTCTGTAAGAAAAAAAGTTAAAAAATAAATAAAAAGATAATTTTACCCCCGATTTAACAGAGCTAACATTAAGAGTGTTAGGTTAAAGGATCTAATCGTTACAAAAATGAAACCACAATGATGATATATTATAAAGTATTTCGTTCAGGAACTTGATCCATAATTTTCATATAACCACAGGGACTCAATTTTTGTAATTTACTCTTAATGAGATATTGTATAAACTTCTCGGCTGATCAATTTTCGTTTCCCAAGTCCCAGAACAGGCTACCGTTGTTCGGCCACTCTGGGACCTATGTCCTTCTTTAATCCGCTCACCCCCTGTTGTTCTTCTGTCTCCCATAACTCCCCCCTCACTCAGGTTAGATACTTCGAAATCAAGTAATTAGTTGAACCTTCAATACAATAATGTGCTTTATTGCATGACCCAGGTTAAAAAAAGGCTAAGGCTACCTGAAATATGAATCACCCCTAAAAGAAGACACTAGTTTTGAGCTTTTGGTTGACTGGTTTTGCTTTCTGGTATGAATTCTGGATTCCCCCTTTCTCTTTAAATTGCCATTGCTTTGTTTATGAAGTATGGAAATTATTATGATAAGCTATGATAAACATTAAAATGGTTAAGTCGTAGTTTCCCCTTTGTTTTACCAAAATTGACTTGACTATGTCTATGTGGATGCCGTCCTTTTGAGATCATGTGATGACACCTGAATGACCTGATATGCTAAATAGAATTGGGTGTTATCATTTCTTCAAATGGTGGTTTTCTTATATGTGGGTGTGCGGGTTTTCCCCCTCTAATCTGAAATTGAATTAGAAGGTGTTATCATTACATTGATTTTGTACTTTTTTCTCTCTAATCTATGACTCTATGTCTCTGTGTCCGGATGGTATAGATATGTTGTTTCTCTTGTTAATTCACAATTAGTATGTGGCAAACAATTTGATATAGTAAAAACAATCGGTGCTTCTCTTTGGGTATTACTTGTTTGTTTAGATTATAGCTCCATTATTAAGTGCTTTATAGTGGTCTAAGTATTGTAAGTTGGGACTTGGGATGTAACATTTTGGTGATATGCATGATCACATCTTAGAAGTCATTAAAAGTATGCATTGGTTCGTATCATCTAAGATAATGAAAAGATGTTATGGCAAGTCTAGCTTGCATTGTATGATAGGAACGTGTTGATCTAATTCCACTGAAGCCACAGAGGACTACCTGAACTGGACTATATTCTACTATGGATTTGACACTCCTTTTTGAGCATTTGAGATCGTCAATTTTAATGCAAGCTGTCTTCATATCTCAAAATGGTATTAAGTGTGTATTTAGGGATTGTACCGAGGAAGGGGTGTTAGATCGTGGGTTATTAACAACCGTAACATTCATAACTATATGACAACCTACTCTGTATGGAATTGTTGCATTTGCAGCGTAAGGAAGCAGATGTATCGATAGATGCTTTGAGAGAGGTTGTTACAGGAAATTATGGCTTTTGTCCAACTCAATGAGGGGCTTGAATCTGCACATGCTTATTGTCGACATTCATGCTAATTAGAAAACTCAGGTCTATTACTCGTTTTTTTTGCTCAAGCAATCTAATTGACAGCTTGTTGATTGTTCTCTATTCTATCGAGTGTAAGTGGGTGTCCACTAGGAATTTACATGCACATGGTTTAATTACACATGGTTTGTTTAGAGGCAGGATTAGTTGCTAATGGCATAGTTGACAGATTTTGATTCATACAGCAAATCATGAATATTCTAGTGAATTATGAATTTCGAGATTCATTTCAAAAATGTCAAAATGGATTAAATGTACTTGAACAAAAACAAACACCAATATGTCCACACATAATATCCTTTCATCAACAAATGGATTAGAGCATCATGTGATAGAAGTAGTTGGACATCACCCCAAAGCAAGACATGTCATATTCTAAATAATACAACTGATGGTATTGTCACCATGCTCAGACAAGCTTTGAATTTCCATTAATTTTGACTACATGGCATTGAGTTTTAATTTGATTGAAGCTTTTAACTTATGAGTGACTGCTAAGCATGGCAAGAAAATTGGAAGATGGAATTGAGTGGGTAACAAATTGATTGTTATGACTGCAACATTTGAAAACCACCATTTTCCTAATATTACAAGCATGACGTCTTTCTTATTAATTTAAAATAATGAAAAGAATATCCAAATGACATCAACCTTTCACCAAAACCATAATTATTCAGCCCTCAGGTTCACAAATCTGTAAAATGGCCACTCACTTCTTATTTTTCGTTCTACTTTGATCACTGCTATTGAATGTTATGAAAAGAAATTGTATTTAGCAATCATTTTTATAAAACTTCAATTTCATTTTTGCTTATATACCTACCCCTTCTTATCTTAGACCCCAATTTTTTTCATACACGTCTCTCTATCTCTCTTTGAGAAATTAGTCCTTGCACCGATTGATCTTGTCGTTCAACTTTTTGGTTTTTGAAAGGGACGCTAGGATCGATATAAGGGAGATGATCTTCAAAATCCATACGACCTCCTTTCTTTAGATCTCCAACCGGGCTAAGAGCAGGAAGCCTTCGTGGTTGGAGTGGCTCATATTGACATAGATAAAGGCTGTTTTATTCTGGCTTTTGATATGGTTTTCCCCTTGTTTCGGGTCGTTTTGGTTCCTAGGGTCTGTTTCCTCTGTTTTGAGCTGCTTTGTCTTGTTTGGTGTTCTGCTCCTTGCAGATTTTTGCCTTCTTGCGTTGTTGTTTTGTGTACTCCCTGGTTTCTTTTTCCTGTTTTAATAATATGGCCTTCCAGAAGAAAACTGGCCCTGTATGCCACTTGGTTATATATATGTATTTGTTGATGTAACAAACTACTATGAGTTGTGTACATTTTCTAATTATCTGTTGGATTGATAATAAAAATCCACTTTTCCATGATTATTTAGAGCAAAGTCCATGGGCTGTGGATAATCTGTGTGAAGAATTACAAACTCAATTTCTATCTAGAATTAAAAAGACTTCTGTTATTGGATTTTTGAGGTCTAGCAGAAACATGAATGGGATCTTGTTGTAAACCAAATATATATATATATATATATATATAATAATTGTAAAAGCAATTATATATTCCATTGGCAACTTATAGATAATTCTGCATCGGCCATTATTGGTACATGAATAGGACCGGACGGGCAAGAGTGAGGTAGGCATGTGAAAGAATGCTGAAAGGTTTTAGGGTCTTAAATTAACATGTGCAGTTCAGTAATTTATCAATCTTGTCCCATCTTTATTTTTGCTCCACCTATCTTTTGTGAGGACAGAAAAAAACAATTTTGTTCCACTTCAGTCTTGTCCTGTCCACTTAGTATAACAAGTTTTTATATAGTCCTGTCCCGTACTCTTCCACGTACCAAACACAACCTTATATACCAATTGCAAAAGCTCTTATATATTTCCCATATATTGCAGCTAAAAACCAGAAATCATAAATGATGTTGACCACGGTGTGATCGAACATTGCAGACAGATTATTTTTCGAATCTTCTTGATCAAAAGGTTAGTTTACAACTGTTTGGTTATATCAGCATATTATATGCATCACAATGGCAGCTTCTGCAGAAACCTTGAACTGTGAACAGCCTAAATTAGTCGAAGACGAGTGGACAATCGTTTTGCCACGACGCAGCAATCAGAGAAGAAAATTTCCCAAAATTAAACCTGCAAAACAACAAGAATTACAAACACACTGGGCTCCTACCGATCTCGAAACAACCCCAGAAAAAGAACTGCAATTGATGCAAAAGATGCAAATCTCTATCGAGAAACTCGAGAAATCTCCATTCTTTTGTGCGTTTTTGGATCAAATCCATACTCCGGAAGCTTCAGAGTGTTTCCATAAGATTACACGATCAGAACATAAGTTAAAAATGGTCATATACGGAATTGGTAGCATCGAATCATTTGAATCACCTCGATTGCAGCTTAGTCTTGCAATCTTGATGAAAAGAAAACTTGATTGGATCGGAGATATGGAAGTGTTTGATCCAATTATTTCTTTAACAGAATCGAAGGTCTTGGAGGAATTCGGGTGTCGTGTTCTTTCCGTTAACGAGCAAGGCAAGAGACAAGCGGTGAACCCCATTCTTTTTTTCATGCCACATTGTGAAGCCGAGCTATATGAGAATCTCCTAAAAACCAACTGGAGATGTGATATGTTGAACCAAATCGTGTTGCTTGGCAACAGTTTCGAGAAATACGAGCAACATAGATCCGTGTTTCAGAACTCGGCCTTGGATGATTTAAGAAAACATTTACTTGCTGTACGACCGTTCACCAAAGAGTTTGAGATTCGTACGGTCTCCGATGATTATTTTCGAGCATTTCATGGTTCAAGTTGGCATTTTTTTAGCGTTGATTCTAGCACAGACTTGCAATTAACATGCTAAAACATTTTATCGTGCATTTGAACTTGTTGAAGACTGAAAGTGGAGATTATATTCGAACTTCTGTAGGCGCGTTATCGTGCTCGTGATCGAACTTATGTGTCCTTACAATAAAATTTTGTGCAAACAAACCATTCGCTCCTCTTTAGGTCATGTCCTTATGAGTTCGGTCTTTTGATTATGATTTCGAATTGGCCAAGCGGTATGTGAGTCAATGGCCTCCTAGGAGGTTAAGGGTTCAAACCTTATCAAAGGTGAGAAGGGTGTGTGAGTTTATTTGTTCTATTTTTTGTATATAAATATTATATACTTCAAAAAAAAAAAAAATACCAAATAAGTCTAGTGGAGATTGGGCTTTTGGGACCGGTTAGGACCGATTGGTCCAGACCGGTTAGGACGGATCCAACGAGCATCGCTTAAAAGGCCGTAGGAATTTACATTCTTTTAAAATATAATTTTGTATACATAATATTTACGTTTTCGAATACGAGTTTTAGAAGATTATGGATTTTTTGTATTTATAATCAAATAAATAAAATATTATTTGATTGCAGTAAATAACATACGTTAGAAGGTTGGGACTGGGATTGTTCCGAGAACCGATTGGTTGACTGCTTTGCCCATCTGCCACTCGAAATGACGAAAGTTGAACTATTATAGTTCGATTTTTGGTTAGGATGAAATTTTGATCGTAATGTATAAGAGTCGTACATAATCTTTTTTTTTTGTAATGTTTAAAGAAAACATGGATTACGTTAGATCCATGTCATGAGGATTATAGAAGAATCATCAGTCAAATTCTTCATGATTTATGTCTTTCATTTCAAACGTTGAAACAAGAAAAGTAGCAGAGACCGTGAATGGAATCGCCACAGAGGGGGAACTGAAGTCTTGTTGGATTCGTGATTGAGAAGAACCGGCTTTTGCGAGGAGAGGAGCGGGACGTGGGAGATAACCCAAGGCCACAGAGTGTTATGGCGTGCCTCAAGGCATCATAGCATGATCCACGTCTTACATAAACGTTATAGATCTTATCGTGACAACAGACACATTTCGTCGTGATACGCCTTTTAGAATCCTAATATATGTCTTAATTATGATAGAGCTGTTAATTGAACACACATGTGGCATTATCGATGGATCATTTGTGTTAGCAATTCAATTTAAATAAGATTAGATAAAAGACGATAATTGTTAGACATAAAAAACCATCTAATTGTTATAATACAAGCATAAGTTAAACTCAACCTTACTATGATTAAAGCCATTTTTTTGGGTTAATTGGTGGGTTTCAGAGTTTTTTTTTTTTTTTGAAGTATGATGGGTTTCCGAGTTTGTTTACGCTTACTGATTAATCCCCCGTGCGACTACAAATGGCCTGGAATTTTCGCAGGTAAACCTCCACGACTCAAAAGGGTTTTGACAGTGTCTAGATTCGAACCCAGAGTATATGAGATTTTCCACTACATCCAATTGAGGCTTAACCAGTACGCCATAACCCAAGTTTACAGAAATTGTAAAAAAAGCAAATTACATCAAAACGATACATGTTTCCCTTTTAGGGAATCTATTTTTCGCAAGCTCGATTTTGCTGTCTACAACGGAAAAACCACCTCAAATAATCTAATAATGTTTTATGCTCCGCTCCCTTAATTGCGTAAAAAACATATTGTATTCCCCAGAAATGAAGTTTGTGAAAGTAGGTTCCACAAAATAAAACCCAACACAAAATATGTTCTCTTTTGATGTAATCAAAATGTAATAAATCCTCAAAAGAGAGCTTTTTGAAAGTAAGGGGCTGTTTACCAAACATTTATTTGGTAGGTGCTTATCGGACAATTTTTCTCACTGGACGAACATGACAAGACCTAAGAATCTTACCTAGTAAGAGCGATGATAAAGATATAAAGTCTTACCCAGTAAGTGAGGCTGACGACTCTTACCCGGATAAGCGTTTACCATATATATTGTTGCATACAATACCATTTTGATATACTACAATCTTACCCAAAAAATAAGTTATAGTGTCGGCTTCTAACAGTAAGCACTTACCAGGTAAACATTTAGGTAAACAGCCCTAAGTTTCACATAATAGGAACTGGAATAAAATAAATTCCATTTTGATACAATTTACTGCATTTTGCAAGAAAAAGTAGATTAATTGTCAAGAATTATGGTATTTTCTTTGCATTTACTGTTACACCATTTGTCCAAAATAGCTCATTCTTGCAAGCAAAACATCATGGCTTTTTAGCCTTTTCACAAGAACAATGATTAGTGTAAGAAAAGAAAATAAAGACTTCAAAAAGCCAGACAGAAAAAAGAGCAAGGCTTTAAACACTCTGTTGATTTCATGATGATATATATATATATATATATATATATATATATATATACACATATCTATATATACACACAAACACACATAACTAGACAGCAGAAGTATGTACACATTATATACATTTGATTATAACTAAGGATTACAATACAGTTGCAACTTAAAATGGCAGTAAGGGATCATGCTTTCATGATATGAGGTACAACAAAGTGAAGTGTCTATTTTACCCTTCAATTGATGGGTGTTAAGCCGGAATCTGCATAATCTTCTGGTATTGGAATGTTTAACTCTGAGCACACAAATTGGATTATATCTTTGGTCACAGACCCAAAAGACAGCTTGTTTAGGGTCACAGAAATCGCAAACCTGTTGCTTATATCGCAATATGCCGTGGATCCACCCAAGCCTGCATGGCCGAACCCAATTAGTGAGCCATCTGTTGAGCACACCCTTTTGAATCCAAGCCCGAATTTCCCATCGGGAAAAGTTAATTTCTTGTATTCTCCTAGACCCAAAAAGGAATCAAAGATTTTTTGTTTTTGGTTACTGAAAATTTTACAAGCATCATCCTTTGGTTCTCTTTTAGAGTCTTTCTTTTTTCCACGATGTTTTTTGTCTTTTGAAGTAGATGTGGGATGGTGAGGGTGGCTTCCCAGTGGTGGCTGGGACGAGGAGGAATGGGATGGTGGGACCAAACCTCCGTCGACAAGGGTGGCATAGTAGCGGGCAAGTGCACGAGCTGAGAAATGCCCATTGGCGGCAGGTAAAATGGCACGGCGGACATTGAGTGTATTAAATAAGGGAATTAAGCCCGCAAGTACATCGACCTGGAAAATGGAGGAAGAGTTAAAGCTAGAGCTAGAGCAAGAGCTAGATCTAGGGCTGCTGATTTCATAGAATCTGTTGAGATCATTTGTATCAAGTGTGAGTGTTGCAAGTCGGGATTCCACACCTGAAGCAAGCACAATAATGGTAATTAACTAGTGAATAATGCTATATATGCCTTCTAAATCCAAAGAAAAACGTACAAATTGAAAATAACTAACTAGCAGCATTGTAGGGAATACAACAATGCTTAGAGCACCACTTTAATCATCAATTTCATTATTCATTTTGAGATGGTTTCTGCTCTCTTGTAAGTAGACAGAAACTAAGATGAAGTGAAACACTATACTGCTACTATTCTGAAATCTGTAATGATGTATAAATACTGAATCGTATTTACTGATTGCAGCATGAGGCATAACCGTGTATTATAAGAGATACTCCCTCCGTCCCAAAAAAGTGTCAACTTTCAAAAGTTCCTACTTTTCAATTCTACCCTTAATTATGAGATGGAAAAATTCATCACTCCCTCTATTATCAAGGGTGAAATCATAATTTACTTAATTAAGAAGTGTACTCCCATCGTCCCAAAATAAGTGTCCACACTTCTATTTATGTTTGTCCCAAAATAAGTATCTAGTTTCAAAAATAGATAATTAAATTTCCCAATCTACCCTTAATTAATACACAAATATTTAAGAGTAGTAAGATATGTTAATTAAGGATGAAGTCGTCATTTGGTTAACTAAAAACTGTAACAATTGTGCATGTCGAAAACCGTGTGCCATTCTATTGTGGACATTTATTTTGAGACTGAGGGAGTAATATTTATGTAGTGCTAAAACATTGTGCCTTTTTCATCGTGGATATTTATTTTGGGAAAAAGGGAGTATGACACAAACTATATTTTGAGGGATTGAATCATATATATGTATGCATGTAAGTATCAATATATGACTATGTCCGGGAATATGCAGCATTGCATTCAAATTTGGGACGAGAGATATATAAGATATACAAGATGGATTAAATCATGCCTGGAGGGATTCCAATATAAAACTCTCCACTGACGTTGAGCGGGTGAACAAAAGCGTCATCAAGGATTTCTTGGAACTTCTTCTTTGATGCATGCTGTACATTAAGAGATAATTACATTTGCAGATGATTAAACAAAACCTAAAAGAACATTTGTTATAAAACCTTCCTTTTCGAAGTCATCCTGAATGAGAGACCATCATGGCGCACCAAGATTAACATCAATATCCAGATGCACCATCTAACTATAAAGCATTAAAATAAACTCTTTGTGGCCATGATATGAGAGAGAGAGGGACCCGCCAGAGAAGTATTTTCAAGATTGACATTGCAGACAAATCCATCTAGTAATAAAAATACACTCTGCACTTCCTTGAATACCGTTTCATAGTCTTCTAAAAATATATTAATACATTGTCCATGAAAAAAATAATTTGCATTTGATGTTTTTAAATCCAAGAAATACAAACACTTGCAATCATGACTAAAATTTATATGTACCCAGTAACTCCTTTTTTAGAACACAGTAATCTAAAACTTTCTGACAAATAGCAGATTGTGGTCATGAGACTACCCAACAGAAACTTGAAGAGAAAGGAATACAAACAAGGCTTGGCTTCATCCTTCCGTCAAACACATTTTATGGATTATAAAGAGGGATGAGACGTTGACCTTGACAAATTAACGCATAAATTTCTACACAAACTTGTTTTTCTGAAGACAGGATTTTGATGATCAAATTGTGTGCATATATGTGTGTGTGTGTGCTATACATGCTCACATCATATTCATATTTCTTCTTTCCCAATGTAATGAGGAGATATTTGATGCTCTTCATAATATATATGGGCAGATCAAATCCTTGTTTATGCAGTCTAAAGATATTCGGATGAGGATTTAAGAGTACCTCAATGATCCCACCACATAGCCAACCGTATGACAGGTAATGATACAACTGTTGTTGACCAGGTTCAGTCTCTGGTGCTAATGTAGCAATGCATTTCAAGCACTCATCCCAATCGCACAATAACATTGGATTATCTTGCACAAGGCTGGCCAGAGCATTGTGCATACCAGATGTATGATTAAGTACATGATGAACCTGACAAACATACCAAAAAAAATATATATGAAATAATTATAATCTCTACAACTGTTGGTAGACTTATGTCTATCGGGGTTACTGAAAAAAGAAACCAAATGCAGATATCTATTTTTATCTATTAACTCTTCAGCCTAATGGCTCATCATGGACTAGATAGAAGGTTTTCCTGATTACTAGTGCACAACTTCACGACCAGTTCTTCTACATGGTTAGGTTATGCTGAGGCTCTAATACTCGAAATCCTAGCTTCCAAAATATTTTTAGCCTCTAGAGCAGTAAGTTATTGTTCTATATGCCATGTCTTTTGGTTGGCAGCAATAGCCATCATCCTTCACTATAAGACTCCTAGTTGTTTGCTTACCTCCACGGTTGGAACTCCAACCAAACCTTGCTACTGTACCAAAATTATCACTTGCCTCATGGGAGTCTTGCCAGGACGTCTCATCAACATTGTCAAACCCTGGTTGAGCCTCATACAGGTATCCAGTCCCTACCCAGCCTACACTAGGGTGTCAAGAACCTGTTTAAACGACGTTCATGATCTCTTGGTTGACTTCATGCTTGAAATTCAGTCACATTTCTGCTTCAAAATATTCCCAGTAGCAGGCAATCAGACCCAATTCTTCTAAGGACTTAATGCTTGAAGTCCACTCAACATTTATGCTTCACGAATGTTCCCAGCAGTAGGCAATCAGACTAATTCTTCTATGGCCTCTAAATGATCAGCCGATGCCATTGAATGTCTACGGCTCATAGGATGCTGTTTTGACATGTACTAATGCCTGCTTTTTCCTTATGCTGTTTTGCATGAACAGTTGATCGGCTCTAGTAGCATCTTTACTTGGTCTTCAAACTGTCCTCTATCAATATTTTTTCTCCTCTGCATTATTATCTTGGGTGACAAACCTGATGATGTGAAGTCCAGGGAGTTTGTTGGAGTTTCTCTACAATTGAAATGCCGGTTAAGTCACATGACTTTATGGGTTCAGGGCTTTTGTCATTTTAACTGGTATCATGAGTGTGCAAAGAAATAACTTTCGACTGATAATCCTTGGTGTTCTTGACTGATGATTGATTAGCCAAGAATAGTGGCATTTGCATGGCCCCGCGGAGTGCAAAGGAGCCCAGTCTTTTATCCATAGCCATGAACATTCCCACCACTAAGAAGTTGTAGGATCACTTACAACTGTCGCATTCCGTCAACACTAACTTGTCACGTGCGTACTAATTTGTAGACATACACTCAATGTGAACAAGGAGATTCTGGTATGACAAATTAGGTTATAAGGTTTAAGGACCTCTACGATGAATTATAGAGTTTGTTCCCCTTTCAGTAACTCTACTACTACTATACACCAGCTACAAAATGACAAACTAGTTGTCGTTACTCTTATAGTTGCATTTCTTCCAACGTTTTGGGTTCCATTTCCTAATTATCTGCCACATTCTTGTGATGTACCCTCTGATATGGGACCATCATACCCCAGCATTGATGCTTCCACTTTGATAGTTTTGGGGACCAGCCTTGTTTGTTTAGGAAGCAAGGGGACTCCAAGCTTGTAGAGAACTACACATGCTTCATGAAGATGTGTAGTTAGCAACAGAACCTTCTCACATAATTGTGATCCCTTAGGTCATTGAGCATGCTGGAAAGGACTGATGGTCACACCTTTATTAGAGGATACTCGTCTTGATATTCATCTCTTGTCAGTATTTCTCAGTCTTTTGGTCATCTCCATTCTTCCCTTGTCCTCTAGACTACCTATTTCTTGATAAATTTCCATCTGGGTTGAGTCATTTAACTCTGTTCCAGATAGTTCAACCTTAATTGACTAGAGTGTTCCAGCCCCAAGTAATGTATATTTCCTTCTCCAGCATGAATGGCATTATTGCCACGAGCAAAGGAATGAGGCCATGCGAAAATGAATCATCCTAATTGTCTTCATGAGAGTTCAGTTTCAGAAAGATAAGTTCAGCTTCCTTGATCTCAGGCTTAGATTCTTCTTCAAAGGGAATTTGAGTAAGGAAAAACTTCTCTTCTTTATCCTCTTCTCTCTTTGTGGGTGCAGTCTGAGCCTAGTGCTACCAAGAAGGCAAGAAAAACCACATATAATGCAAAGCCTACTCCTTTTGCAATTCCCTCAAACATTGATTGGCACATCTCACCACATAATGTGGAATATAGATAAGGAGAAAAAGTTAGCATCACACAAACCTTTATTAGATCTTTTCGGTTTGAACTGAACTCTGGCCAGATGTTTGCAACATTCTCGTCAAGCTTCAATTTCCTGCAATAAACACTTGAATCATACATTGTTTGCATCCACTGAAGATTGGGCCAAATAACCCTCTGTCATTGTTTCCAAAATACATGGTGCAGAAGATGTTAATTTAGATGAAAGTATCGCATCAGAATATGAAAACAGCTTGGGGTGGCCTAAAGAGGCAGTTTTTAGTTCATGTACTTCAATAATTTTCTTTCTAGAAAAGCTAGACCAGTCAGAAAAATGTATCAAGATGCACACTGTAACTTGGCCTAACATCTTACAGAGAAAAGGGTGGAACGTAAGAAAAGGTTTCAACAATAGCGTAAGGGACAATGCATTTTTAAAGGTTCCGTAGTTGTGGAAGTCTGCAATATCAATTTTACACCCATTAATGCTAATACTAACTAATGGGTTATGTTTGGCTCCTTTGTTTTGAGTCTCTGCCTGATGTAAATCTTAACATGCCTTAAGGGTTGCTTTTGCTGATGCTCGCAGAATGTAAGCTGGCCTCTAATAGTAAGATGATGTGGAAGGTTCGACCTAATTCTCAGTCTACAAGTAAAACTGGTAAGAAACCAAGTTTAGTCATACTGCTACACAATTAATTAAGGATACTTCAACATTTAAAGTATGCGGTCCAATTTCACAAGTAAACCACAATTTTTTTGTACTCATCTATAAAAGAAATAGTGAATAAGCTTTTCTGGTTGAACATCAAGGACCAATATGAACATTTAAAAAATAATGGAATGTAGGATTCAGTGAGAACTCTGCAATTCATATAAAAGGACTTGAAAAATAAATGAAACTATTTGAGCTTAAGTTTCAGTTAACACATTTGATTATTAAGATTATAGGTTCTGAGGTTCATTTAGAACATTTGATTAAAAATAGGGGTGGGAGAAAGAATATGTAAAGTTGGAGGTAGGACCCAATGTCTTGCTAACAATAAGAAAAGGGGAAAAGTATTTGTAAACTTGCAAGAATCAATCCCTGAACTTCAATAGCTAACAGAATCTGCTAGTCAAGCAACATTTGTCTTGGTATTAGTTAATGGGTTCACCTAGTTATGAAGTATTTGGTACCTCAATATATTTTTTTATTCTCTATCGTATTGAAATTCACTACGATCTCATGTGTTGCATGGCAACACAGACATGATAGTAGTTCCGCACCTGTCCTGTAGATGAAGTGGGTGGATTACACACTAAGAACGTGGTTGTAATTTTATTTTGTATGGACAAACAATATTAAGTATTAGAAAGCTGGCTATGTTCATACTGGTATGGTACAAGATGATGGGCATTCAAAATAACAATTTCACATTTCATGATGTGAGGAGAACAATTGTGACGGAAGAATAAAGTGACAGATCTATACATGTAAAGGATGATTATTTAAACACAGAGATACACAACCCTAAACGATTAAAAACATATGCGAGCCTTGTGAAAAGGAGTGTGAAACATTCCCGACTTGCATATACTGTATTGATTTGTATGGAGGGGCTTCATGAATATGCTCTAACTGATCTCCAGACAGCACACATACTGACTGAATAGAAAGAGATTAGCAAGAAGTACCAATCACCTTCTTATGTGCAAAATAACAGTTCACTGGCATATGACAAAAGTTAGCAGAAAAGTTCATCTTCACCATTATACAATTTCACATCTAAACAAGACTACATGGCACCTAAACTAGGATAGTTAGCTACTTGTAATTGATAAATATGATAATCTAAGGATGCTACAGCTGCTGGAATCTTTTGCATAATCATAACCCTTGTATTCAAGGCTTAAAACATAAAAATTTAACTTAATATAGAAGTAGGGTGTTACAATTCTCCCCTTCTTACAAGAATTTCGTCTTCAAAATTTTACTCAAAAAGATGTGGGTACTTATTTCTCATATCTGATTCGACTTCCCATGTTGCCACTGATCTATGTGAAGAGTCCCAATGATACCTCCTTATTTCGAAGCTTCTTAGCTTTACATTTAGTGACGGCTATCGGATTTTCTATGAAAATTAGTTTGTCATTGTTAAGATACTCAATATCCTTGAAGATACTCGATATCATTGTAAAATAGGAATCGGAGATTATGGGTAATATCTACTTGTAATTTGCTGCTGTGAATATCTTAGGAATCCTTTCCTTTTCTTCTCATATTCTTTGTGTATATATAGCCTTTGTACCTCCCTCTTTTGAGACAAGTGAAAAAAACAAAGAATTCTAAATGGTATCAGAAATTGGTTTCGTAACAATCACTAGTTTCGCGGATCGAAATTTTATGGTACGTTGTTTTCCTTAGATCGAAATTTTTGTTCATCGTTTTTTCTTGATCGACAAGTTTCCTTGGGTCGGAAGTTTTCTGCTCGTCGGTTTCTTTGGCATCCTGTGAGTGCGATTATCCTCATCTCTGTTCGTCGGCTATTTAGCACCCTGTGAGTGCGTCGTTCGCTTTCTGGTTTGCTATCATTCGTCCTAAGTTCTACGTTCTCTCTTGAATGAATCTGCTATTCCTTCTCTTTCAGAAACATTTGCCCGTGTTCTTAGGAATGAGAATCTTCAGGCTTCTCAAACTTTTGATCACAACAGTGCTCATGGTTGGTCGAGGGGGATTTCGTGGTGGCTACCGAGAAGGATTTCATGGGGGTCACTGTGGTGGCTCTAGAGGTGGCCACAGTGACCGAACAACTGACTCACGGGCTACTATTCCAGACCGTAGGTGGATGGGTAAAAAGAGGGATAATACTATGGTGAGATTAACAATCTGATTAGATCAAGGATAAAGTACTTAAACACCACCAAGATTAACCAAATTGGCGAAGGTTGATGTTAGTGATAAAGCAACAGCACCACACTAGCAACAATCAAGAATCGACTCCTTTTGTGTATGAACACTCAAAACAGCTTCACAAGCTATTGTAAACTCATTATTCAAAGAGAAAATATGCCTTCTAGCTACAACTTGGAACCCCATATATAGGGCTGGAAGATAAACATAACTCTTGAAAAAAATGAAAAGAGTAAAGAAAGACAAAAAGTTGGAAAACAATTAAAGGACTATTAATGAAGCATAAATGAGGAAGAAGGCATATTTTCTCTCTGATGCAACAGGCATTGCTGATGAGCTAGCAGCAGGGACTTCTTGTCCAACTTCGTGACTCTAATACCATGTAATGGTTCTCTAGAAGCATGTCAATCATTAAATAAAGGTAAATATCTAGAGTACATTATGGGCCAATGAGACAAAACATAAACTCTTAAAAGAGCATACCAAACACATACACCTATATCTAACAACAAATAATCATTAAAAGGAAGAACTAGTAAACAAGTTTCATGCTAGAATTATAACATACCCTTTATCGACCAGCCAATGCAACATTCCAGCTGTGACTCCCTTTGTTACAGAGAAAACAGGAAATAAGGTATCAGGCTGAACTGGAGAAGGATCATAGTTTCCGAGAACCCCAGCAGCAGTATCAATGATCACTTTCCCATCTTTGTAGGCACAAACCTAAGAGAGAATACTAACAATGAGAGAGCATCAGATAGTAGACATCTCCAACAGCACAGATAAGAGAGACTAGCCATAATTGAAAATTCAACAATGGTATACAGAGGATGGAAGGAATACAAATGCATACATATATGTCTGGAAGTGTGTATATATCCATGTATGCATGTATGTATGCATAGATATAGTGTATATGTGTCACTCTGGTGAAAGCATAATGCTTCAATAGACTTCTTAGAGCCGTAAGGCTGTTTTTAATACACTAGAGATATCTATCTAATGTAACTACTTGCTAAAACACTAGGTCTACCCACTTGAATAAATATGCTATCTAATATGTATAACAACCTAATGCATAATGTACAACTACTTGATACACTCTAATAGCAGCCTTTCTACACTCCCCCTCATGTTCGTGCACATTTATCAAACATGTCCAACTTGTTTACAAGAAATCAAAGGTAGGCTTAAACAACCCCTTGGTTCTAATTGTCATCTGGTCTTTGGATGAAACATAAAACCAAGCCCAACGAACCCAATTAATCCCACAAATTATGGAACCCATATTATTCTAGCATCATATTTCTCCTTTGTAGTGTCAGTCCACCATGATATCGTTTGGTGTTGATGGCTGCCTTATTATCACAAAGAGAAACTTCATTGGTAGCTCAATCTCTAATCTCGGGTCTGAAAAAATTCTTTGGTTCTGAAGTATCTCATGAATACCATTTGCCATAGCTCAGAGTTCAACCTTTAAACTACTCTGGGCCACCACATTATGTTTCTTCATGTGACGAGATTACCCCATACATAAGTACAATAATCGGATGTAGATCTTGTCTGGGACAACTCTTTAAATATCTGAGAATTTTGTATGACGCTTCAAGCTGTCCTTCGCATGAACAGACTTACCAAGCTAACAGGGATGCTATGTTGGGTCGCCTATGTGATAAGTAGATCGGTTGTCCTACTAATCGTTGGTATTGTTGGACATCAACTAGTTTTCCATTGGTGATGTCTCCCAACTTCTTGTTCGTGTCTATCGGTTGGCAATGCTCATTCCAATATCTTTTAGAAGATCAAAAATCTATTTTCTTTATGACACCACGATTCCTTGTTTTGATCTTCCAATCTCCGTTGCTAGAAATACTTCATCTCTCTAAGGTCGTTTACTTCAAACTTTTTCAAGAGTTAGGTTTTCATTCTCACTATCTCTTCATGATCATCATAAGTGAGAAGAAATCATCTACAGACTATTAAAACTACAATCTTACCCTTGGTAGAGAACTAAGTAAATAGTGTGTGATCAGATTGAGCTTGTGTATAGTCGTGGCTTTTGACCACTTGAGTGAAAAGCTTGAACCATGCCCTTGGTTATGTTGAAGTCCACACAACGCCTTTTCTAATTTGTACATGTTGGAGCTAAAGTTGTTTTCAAACCCGGGTGATGGTAGGGGTGTTCATTTAAACTGCCAAACTGCATAAACCACACACACCGCACTGCGTTGATTAGAGCTATCGCAGTCTCCCAAAAAAGAAAGAGCAGACCCCATTGAAGACGARAGTGAGGTACAACAAGGCCATTTCTGTCCACCGCCCTTCTCACAGAGCCGTACATGGACGTTACCGCTCATACAGCTCCYAGCCAGCAAGCAGTTAGCCTTCCTCTACAAGGAATGGAAGTGTGGGTGAATCGACATCAAATAGAGGAATTCGCTTTTTCTTTTCAGCAATAACATGATAAGAGCATCCCTTTCACAAAAACCTACAGACCCCGACAAATGAAAAGCACTAGCCCGATTCTCCATCTYCGGGAGTCGATCCTGCTTCTATCGCCACCTCGCACCTATGGAGCAGGGGTCTCAGCATTGTAGAATGACTGCTTCCGATTGAATATGCTAGATAATGCCCGCATCATCGGTGGGGCCAGTCGGTGAATAGCGAACGATAGGTAAGATACAATGTCTTGTGGTTTTAGCGTGTATTTCTTGTGATAACAAGCTAGGTGCTTAAGCAAGATAATTCCATAACTTAAGGTTTGCATTGATGGGTGCCTAATATAATTCATATTCGCAATAAATACCTTGTGTTTAATGGCGTTTTTGCATCCAAAAATTCCTAAAACTAATCTTAGCTTTGATTTCCCGTTAACAAGTGCTTAAACTAAGGACTCTTAGCACTTTGAAGCCATACACAAGCTTGTAAGCGACTTAAAGGCATTATTAACATCAAACCGGTTGAGTGGCCAAACAAATTTGTTGCTACCAAAAGTAGAATTCAAACAATATTTGATATCGCCACCAGGGCAAAAATTTTGTAGTTGATCCCCTAAGTTTGAGTAAAGCCCTTAATAACTAATCTGGATTTGCATCGTTCGACAATGCCATAATATTAGACTTTGAAGTGAATACTCACTTACAACCAAATGTATAGTTCCGCCTAGTTCCCTTCTGGAGTTCTTCAATATATCATGGTTGATTATTCTCAAGAGCACTCCCTTCCTCCATAACAGTCTTTCTCCATTTTGGACTTTTTAGTGCATCATATATATTGCTAGCATTTGAACACGGAAAACATTTCTAGTGAAGGCTGAGTATTTGGGTGAGAGTTTGAGTAAGATGCATAGTTAGCCAAGGGGATCTTAAATATCTAGTTAATCAACCCCGTAATGTTTTCTTTTCTCAAAGAAATATGAATATCTAGATCGCATGTCCTTCCTCAGCTTGAGATTACGAAAAAGTACAAGTTCATTTGTTGAAGGGAGCCTTATTTTCGTGATTGTACTTTATAAAAAAGACATTCGACTTTGGTGAAGACCAGTTGGGTAATAACCTCACTGGACACCTTGTTTTGTGCATAAGCAGGCTTGTTTAAACATATAGTTCAGTATGTCGGAAGGCATTTGTTTAACTTCTTCTGCAAGCTTTATCTCTCTTGTATTGATCTCTTTTGTATTATGCGGTAACAATCTGAAGTTCTCTATTATGTCGGAAGACCTTTTCCGTTACTTCATTATTATCCTCCCTTTTCTCTTTCTCATTTAATACTTCTATTTGGTTACTTTTGTTTGTACTCTTATTGGCATTGAATGTATTTTATTTCACTCTTACTTTTGTTCAAAGCTAAAGTCATGATTGGCTAAATTCCATGGGCTAAGGAAAGGTTGTGTTAAAAACCAAAAAGTAGAGGTGGAACTTGACACATTTCATTAGTTCATGCCAACTTCTCATCCATGGTTAATATTGATAAATATGGCATCTTGTGGACAAGTTGATCATTAATCAAAATGGAACCCATGAATGGGAACACATGACACATCAACTTGGATGATATGATAAGCATACTCAGAAAAGTTACTAAAATACAAAGGAAATTGCATTTGCCTTGTATGCTTTAATAAGATAATAGATTCTACGATGTCTAAACTTCAGTTCTACATATGAATATGAGAACAAGTTTATTGATAAGTGCCTTTCTTAGCTTAAAAAGTGTCTCGTATGAGTTGGATGTTGGCTTGAAGCTAATTGTCGGTGTGTCAGGGGGAATCTCATGACATAGAGGAATAAGAAACAACCATTTTTTGCAAAGGAGTAATGCATAAGTTGAGTTCACATCCTTAGTTCATGGGATATGTGAAGGAATTTGTTAAAAGAGCCTATTTGGTAAGATTGGGTTTGGACTACTCATTATATTATAATTATAAGAATATGCGGAACCCCCAAATCACTCTCCAAAAGGGCCCTTGAGAAGAAATGGTCCGAGTCTAGCCGATGTGGGACTCCAACAATAATAATGTCTGATAATTAAGTGGCAATCAACATTGCCAAGAATCCGGTTCTCCACAACCGAGAAAGTCACTAGTGGAACAATTTAACTAAATTATTTTCTTTCTTGGCAAGAAGTGGCAAATATCCTCACTAAGCCTCTGCCTGGACCTAACTTAGAAGGTCTTCGCAGCAAGGTGGGCCTGTGTGACATACATTCACCTGCTTGAGAGGAGTGTTGCAAAATAGATTAGTAGTTTAGTAGATTGGTTGGGATAATCAAGAGATACTACTTAATCTCCTAATTTTGTTCAATTTCCTTAATCCAAGGGAGGGAATCAATTAGTTTCTAGTTTCTCTCTTATTTTATTTATTATAAATGATATGTGGTAAGATTGAGAAATGATAAGAAAAACAAATGTCTCAATACAGGTCAATATACCCACCAATACAAATCTTTCACTGATTAACGACCTAGACATATCAATCTAGAAGTAAACACACTGAGACAGTTGTATGTACCTGGATTCCAAGTATTTTATCGGCATTGCGCAGCTTAACTAACAGAGGCCTTAGCTTTGCTTCTACATCAGAGTTGATAGGGCTGTCACATACCCATTCTGCACTATCCACAGGTCCCTCAGTTGTGTCACTGGAACAAGTTAGCTAATAAGATTGAATCCATAGGACAATGAGACAAGGGAAGCTCAGTAATAACGATAATGTAATGACACAAGAAGTTATAACAGAAACAAACCATTCCAGAGCAAATTCAGCAAACGGTCTAATGATTCTATAATAGCTAACGCTCACATTCAATGCCGTAGAAAGCCCTGAAACCATGTCTAATAATTCAAATTCTCACTTCTTTATATCACAATAAGGCAAGGTCTTGAGGGATTTGATAGACACCTGCAAGCAAATTAAGGACCCGCAAGAACAATATAATATCGCCTGAAAAAGCATCAAGCTGGAGATCGCTTCATTAGTTTCTCCAAAAAGGATAAAAGATGACAGGATTAACAATCAAAAACAGCTAAAGTTTCAGCATGATTACACTACTACAATTACCATCTACATCATCCATCATCAAAGAAGAAAAAGAACCCTACAGGCAAGGTCGTTTTGGGGCCTAGGCCCAAGCCACAAGGCAAGGCACATGAAATTTAAAAAATAAATATATGTGAAACTATAAATGAATTAGGAAGTTTTAAACTAGGTTATTATTATAGAAGGATTCTTATGGAATTAGGAGACTAGTTGCGTATATACAGGTTATTAATCCCTTTCTGTAGGAATAATAAGAAATGAAGTAATTCCCCCAGTTCTTTCTTCATGATATGTATAGCAATCTACCCAAAGGCTGGTTTTCTAAGTTTCTGGGTTTCTAATTCGATTTCAGTGGCCTGCAATATTGAGCATCTCTAGATTAATCTCAATTATCGCTCTGGCCTCTCTCGCTCTCACTGGAATCTCAATCATCCTCGTCAATTTTTCAACCGACGTTGCTGACAGCCTCCAAAGGCCATCCTCTTCGACTCACTCTCATAGTCACTCACTCACTCTCAATCAACTCATCAGCCAGACATCATCTTAGCCATCCAATCATCACTGATCCAATTGCTACTCTTAGAGTAATTGTCATTGCCCACCATTGATCCAATTTGTGCTACTGTCCCATGCCTCCCCTATTTGTTCACAAGTAATTCAGGTGCTATAAATTCACATCTTCTCTTCGTGTGCTAATCATGAGAAAATATGGCAAGGTCTCCTCTACTTCATCAAGCATCACCTCAAGACCCAACTCATCCACTTTAACACCTCCATGCCAGCCATTACTGAATTTCCTCCAACGGTCCAATATGAGTTCATGTTCATATATGGCAAAGGCAAATATGGCCACCTCATTGGAAAATTGATGACCATTTGGTCCTATCATCGCTGATAACGCCTTTGAAATCCTAAGTAAAAAAAAGCCGATGTGCAAATATGCGAAGGAGAGATGAGGTTGGTTGTGAAACCTACTCTAGCACTGAGAACTCATCTGCATTATTTGGCATTGAGACTAGATTGATTGTATGATCTAAGTCAAGTAGATATCAGTGACGCACCATGATGGCACCCATATAAATAGGAGAGCACCTCCGCTCCTTCATTTTCATCCCTCATTTCGGCAGAATGTTTTTTAGCACAAAAACACACACATAAACTGTAAGGGAAGAGAGAGAGAGAGAGAGAGCAAGGAAAGCAAAGGAAGAAAGAAGAAAAGGGGTTGCAAAATTTTGAGTCTCAAGTAGCCAAACAACAAGGTGTTTACATGTTCTAGTTTGATTCAAGCCCATGGTACATACATAAAGATTCATGGTTAGGATATCCAATATTCCAGACCTAATAATCCATAGCATGATCAAAAGCAACCATTAAGACAAATATAACAAAAACCTATGTGACATAAGCATGACATAAATGATGGATACTACGAGAATATGTGGAACCCCATATCACTCTCCAAAAGAGCCTTGAAGAGGAAGTGGAGGTTCCAACATATATACAAGAGAAATGGTCCAAGTCTAGCCGATGTTGGATTCCAACACGCCCCCTCCAATGGAGGCTAGATGGACAACGATTGTCCCAGAGAGTCGAGAGGGGGCTAGCCAGAGTGTCGGGTCCCTAGAGTGGTAGACCTTGACTTTGATACCATGTGAGAATATGTGAAACCCCCAGATCACCCTCCAAAAGAGCCCTTGAGCTGCAGGGGTGGACCTATTAGGAGCTAAGTGGGCTCCCTTGCACCCGTTCATTCGATTATTGCAAGAGATAAAAAAAATTAGCTGCCTGAAAGGTGCACCCGCTTGATTTTTAGGGGCCCCCTTAGATACTTTGAAACCAAATCTATAACAGAAATTAAACACGGGTCGGATGGTTGGATTACCACTCCACATGCAAGAGGTCACCAGTTCCAATCTTGCAAGTAAAGGTTTAACTTTTTATCTTTTAATTTTAGGCTCCAGGGCAGGCCAATGACATTTACTCATGCCCTACAATGCTATTTCTGAAAATAGTAATAGCAAAAATATAGTTAGAAGTTTCGAACTCACAACCTCTAAGTATAATTATAAGCGTTACTACCACTATGCCAAGACAACTTTTTATTTATATTCTCCCATTTTGATTTTATTATTTGTTTTCATGATTTTTTTTCTTCCCAATGTCAAGTCATTTTAAAAATTGACGTTCTTTTATCATTTTCAAGACAACATATATTTATTTAAGGATCAAAGTCGATTCCATTTGAAAAAAAATCTATTTTGTTCCCAAATTGACACAATTGACTTTCTCCCCAGGTCAAACAGTGATTTTTACGGACCTTTGATCCACCTTAAAGGTGCACCCGCTCAAAAAGTTATTGTGTTCCCCACTGTTGAGGAAGAAGGGGAGGCTCCAACATATATACCGCAGAAACGGTCCAAGTGTAGCCGATGTGGGACTCTAACAGATACAAATAAAAATAAGTAGCAATTATATATACGCACAACAGCCACAACATAGGTGTTATCACTTAGGGTCCTAACAATTTGCAGATGTGATGTCATAAGAAAATAATGTACAAACCTCAGCAGATGCGAGAAACATTTTTGCTACGGCATGCTTCATGGAGCCCGAAAGCGATTTCGTAAACCCGAAATCAAGCAAAATCGGATGATGTGGAGATGTCTTGGTTACAAGGAAATTACCTGGAAACAGCCAACAAAAATGCAAATCGGGTGGAAAACAAAGCACTTGAATAAAATACAAAAGGTGTTAAATAAGATTTCTTCTATATAGGAAAGAGGTGGGTGGTGGTTGAAAAGAAAGGAGACGGAAACATTACCAGGATGAGGATCAGCATTGAAAAATCCATCAATAAAAATTTGATGTGCATACGCACGTGTTATTTCTTCAACAATATTTTTCTTGTCAACACCAAGTGAGTCTAGCGAACGGGAATCATTCAGACGTACACCGTCCATATACTCTAGAATGAGGACCCTTTCAGTTGACTGTAAATACACCAAAATTGATATAAGAATAACTGAAAAACGTATTACAACAATAACCTATTTCCTAATCAAATTGGGTAGGGATTACACCAATTTAGTATGAGAAAGGCAACAAAGAGCAACCATTATGCCATCTTCAGATTGCCATGCCTTACTATTGTATGTCAACCAATCATCTATGTTGTTACAACGGTCAAAATCTGAAATAGAGGTCAAGGTCCTAATTTGATATAGCAGTTATCACGATGGTAAAGCGGTCTACAAATAGTGGTTCATGTAATAGTTACAATTATATATAGATATGTACGCATACATAACATATTTATATATTGAAGATGAACAGAATAACGCGTGATTAGAAGAGATGATGAGCAAACGATGCAGGAAGACAATGTTGTTGTTAAGAGAAGAGTAGAAGACGATGCATAATGCTGGAATAGAAAAGATGAGAGAGGAATAGCGAGTTTACAGATCATAACCCCTTAAGCAACTTTCTAAACCCTTTAAAAGGCCAACTGAAACCCCAACCCCAAATTGCGGTTTTCACACCGCTATGGCAAATCAAAATTGCGGCGCAATTAATTATATATATCAAGTTTTAAAAAAGTTCGAACAATGTATTTTGAAAAAATGGCATTATAAATAAATCTTTTAATGAAAATTTACTAATTGTTTATTGTAATTTAATTTAAACTTATTTATTGATATTTTTTATAATTAAATACATTTCTAAGACTTCTTATAAAATGTATAATCTGTCTAAAAAACAATGTTTAACTTGATACATAGTTTGATATAGATGTTTGCTAATTAATCAAAAGTCTAAAATACTTCATTGACAAACATAAGGAAAAAAAAATAACATAGTGGGTATTAAATATAACATCAAGTGATAGAAAAGAGGTAGAAACCATAGAATACCAGTTGGGGCATGTTAAATAACCTAGAGGTCCTAAGTTCAAATCCTGCACCTGTATATTTCCCGGTGAATACTGGTGTGTCAAAGGACGAGCAGCAAATGTTTTACCCTCGAGTGTGGTTTCCCCAATCTTCTAGAAAAAAACAACTAAGGCTGTCATCATGTGACGCAACCTCATCTTGAAGGAAAGGCATCAAAGAATCAAGGACAATACCTGAATAACTTCAGGCATCATTACTTTAACACGATGCTCAGGCTTTTTGTCACGGCATCCTTCTTTGCAGCCAAGGTTATTAGAGACTTTTCTAGTATTCTCTACAAGCATTAACAGATAAATCATCAAGAAGAAAAATGGTCAACAGCTGGAACTGGAAGACCTCCATAACAAATATGTATCAACATGGGGAATGATTTATCATACCAGCTTCCCTGTTGAAATCCAGTTCCTTAGGGGCTTCTTTGCACCATTCATCTATTACAGCGTTGAAATTAAACTTTGGTTCTGCCCAATATATCCACTCTACTACTGACTTAGCATCCTTCAGGTCCTGTGAAAAAATTATAGATGATAGTGAGTCTGCTACTTCTTCCATATTAGAACTCAAAGGACCATGGGTACAGAAAAAATAACCTCCAAGATTATTGTCTTGATGCCCTCGTGTTGAACTTTAACAACCACCTCTTGCCCGTCTCGTAGAGTTGCGCGATGAACTTGTGCTATCTGCATATGAAATACATGAACCAGCAGCTTAATAGTAAATTATTAATGTAACCAGGAGATGGGAGAGAGAGGTTATGAAACAGTCATTATTTAAGACATGGGGCAATAGATGCTTCACCCTGATTAAATAGGTAAACAAGAAGCCATCTTTAGATGAGTTTGAAAGGAGCTAATAGCATTATACGCAAACCTTTTTCCTCTCATTGTCAGATTCTTCCATAAGCAATATTCATCTAGTGTAAGGCTTATAAATATTCACTTATGCCTTCTTATAGATAAATTATTTAAGCAGCATTTACTGTACATATTTACTTTTTTGCAAGCATATCAGTCTATAGGCCTCTAGCAGATAACACTGCGATAGTAGTTGGTGTTGTATGATGTATTACTTCTGAAATAACCAAAAGGAAGATGCTTCATACTGCCAATGTAAGAAAATAAGAGAACCGACGCTTCAACGTTAGGTAGGTAACAGCCTCTAAGAGTCTTACTGATGCGGTTGCAAGAGGTGCCTCAACAAAATTTATAAATAGATCATCCATCGACTTCCCCAACTCCTTCTGTATGGTACTGCAAACCTGAGTAACAAAATCATTCATTCATTTGAAGCTGTTTCCAGAATATTGAAAATGAGATATAAATCTAAAGAGACTGGAAACAATTATATAAATTGCTAATGTTGTAGGGTTTAACTATATCAATGCTGTCATAGAACTTCTCATAGGCTTTTACGTAATCACAGCCAACAGCCCACATATGTAATTACAAGTCTGCTATTCAGAATGAACGTAGATGCATTTTGTGAGACTAGAATCAGCGCAATGCAGCGAGACGCATCTCGATTTTAATGTTCTATTTTATTATTTGTCTCTGTCGATGTTATAATACGTTTTTATGTGTTTTTAAGAAATCAATATTGATTTTATTTTTGAATAAAATATAAATTTGAAGATATCATAAAAATTTGAAAAAAAAATATATCAATGTTAATATCAAATCAACTATTTAAAAGTTCTCTTTTTATTATGTAATTTCTTTAATTTATTTTTTTATTATAATTTAATTTAAGTTTAAAAACGAAATAATTTATTTTTGGTTTAATAATATAACATTTTATAAAGATAATAATAATTAAGTATTCTATTAAAACTCAATGATTATCCTCATTATATTTTAGATTTTTTATATTTAAAATGAGATGTTTATCCTGTATTTGATTATGTTTATCTGCAGTTAGTTACACGAATTCAGATATGGAGCTTTAATAAGTTGTACTTATGCACAATCTATTTGTAATCTTGGGTTTTAAGTAATATGCATTAATAAAYAGTACTTTACGCATAAAAAATGGTTTTTAAGAGTTTTTGTCAAATACTTTATAATATAGTATAAATTTACCTAATTCAGTATCATAAATGAATGTCTGTTATTGTGTAGGTTAAATGGGCAAATTTAGGGTGGTAGGTGAAGAGAAACTAGATTTCTAGGAGAAATGATACCAATATGTAGATTACATTTCGGGCCATGGGTCGATGCACACAACCTTGTTAGCAACATACCAATAATTTTTCAACCATAATGCTACATTTAGCCCTATATTCGACATCCCTTAAGTTGGAGTGATCGGTCGCTAAGTTCGACTTTATTTTGTCGTCAATTATCCCTCATTAATGCGTTAAAATGGTAAAACCGAACTACACTAATGTGTTTTTGTATTTTGATAGGTTCGGAAAAGTTTGGTGCGAAAAATGGACAAAAAGAGGATTTTTGACAGTTTCGCGATGCTATGATATTTCGAGCATATCTCACTCGTTCAAGCTCGGATTTGTTTCTATTAGTTATATTTTGCATAAAATATATGGATATGTCGTTTAGGACAGAATGTGACAGGTTTTATCGAGACTTAACGGTTAATTTATGGTATTGGTATATCTATATGTGTTTAAATTAAACGTGTTTTAGTAATTGGTTGGCATAATTTGGATAGTCCATTGGTATTCCTCGACCGTACCGAACACAGTAGTGTAGGTGGGAGGACGGTTGGTTTGGTTAGGCATAGATTATGCCAAGGATTGGATCAGTCCCTTAACATGTTGATTTAGGCAATGTATTTAAAATTGGATATTGCATGAAAACAAATTAAATTGGTGAAACATTTGGGTTAGTAACGGACGGTTGACCTTGACTTTTTATCATCGTTAGAACTCGTTTTCTCAATTTCGTTCTTTATAATTTTCTTTACAAAAATAAAAGCCAAAAAATATTTTCTATTTATTTGTTTCTTTAATTTTAACGCAATTCCTTCCAAAGCTTGATTCTGTTAGTGATAGTTGTAATATTTAGATTTCAATTTCGAGTCTTGAGCTTTTGTTGATTTAATTGAGTAGTCTATCTAAGTGACACATGTGCATCCGATCAACACAAATAATTAGCTTGACCACTGACTCTCTCGGAAGAATGATACCAGAATTACCCTTTACTGGTTTGAGTTAGGTTTATAAATTTAAACCTTCTTGTGTGTTTAACGACGCGTGCAACATGAAGCATATATCTCGAGCTCACACTTGTCTTGTAGCGGGATAATTCGTGAACTCCCTAGCGGCTTTGTAGGTACAGCGACAGCTTGATACGCACATCAAACCCAAAAAGATTCCAATAAGGATATTGCTCGGATATTCTCTTAATCCAACCCAGGAATCGACGGGAGGGAACCGCAGGATGCTGATAAGACGGTTGCTTTTTATTGATTAAACCCCTAGATAACTAATGGCCTTGATGAATAATTATTTTCTAATCCTACGTATTTGGTTGGTCCCTTATATATAGGGAATAAAACGTTTTCTTATTATTTAACCTTACATACTAAACCTGCATAGATCTAACATCACTCCCCTCCCCAAAAAAGACACCTTGGCCTTAAGGTGGAGGTCGGAAACTGTTGCTGTATAAGCTTGAAAGGTTCCCATGTAATCTCGTACTCCATCCAATCCTTCCATCGAACTAATAGTTCCCTATCCTAAAATTTCCTGGTCCTCCTCTTCTGAAACCCTTCAGCGACATCAGTTTCATAGTCAATCCCATCATCTACTTCTGAAGCACAACCCTTGGCTTTCTTGTCCACTCTGCTTCTGTCATTTTTAATCCTTTGTCCAAACCTCAATATCATTCCACGAGATGTTTCTTTAATTCCCCAAATGCTGGATTTGGCAGCCACATCTGTGTTTTCCCAATCCTTCCCATAGCAAATATAGCCTCCAAGTGATATCGGGTTGGATATCCAGGTTAATAAAAAAATATAGCCTCCAAGTGACCTCATTACTTGCTCATTCATTTGTTTTTATGTCTTCGAAATTTGATCCTCTACATTAGCCTCATCACCTCTCTCAGTCTCATTGGTTTCCATAGCCTCATTGCTTCCTTATGTCGGCCTTCAAACGTTTTCAAAACTTCTAGCCTTCATCTCATCTGATAACCCTTGGACCCCCTACCAGTAACCCAAAATCTTTAAGGATACTCCCATGATGTGCTCTCTTTAATGAGAGCAAATAATTACTCCATTAGTCGACCTCCCTACAAGCCTTGAAATCACTCCAAAATTCCACCACGATGTGAATGGATGGGACAATAGCTCTCGAACCACTGATACCACCCGCTTCCCCTTCCAAATATAGCTCAACCCCTTCAAGCAACTCATACCCTGTGAGTCCATCTGTAACAACCCGTCCCACATCGGTTGGTGAGGAGAACTAAGCACTCCTTATAAGGGTGTGGATACCTCAACCTAGTATGACGCGTTTTGGGGCTTGCGTTGTGCGGCTGCCAGAAACAAAACCGTGCGGCTACTGCTTTGTGGTTGAGCGGGCAGGTTAGTCAAAGCGGACAATATCATTGCTACGGGGTTCTGGGGGCGTTACAAGTGGTATCAGAGCCAGACCCGGATCGATGTGGCCCAACGAGGACGTTGTGTCCTAACGGGGGGAGGGTGTAACAACCCGTCCCACATCGGTTGGTGAGGAGAACTAAGCACTCCTTATAAGGGTGTGGATACCTCAACCTAGTATGACGCGTTTTGGGGCTTGCGTTGTGCGGCTGCCAGAAACAAAACCGTGCGGCTACTGCTTTGTGGTTGAGCGGGCAGGTTAGTCAAAGCGGACAATATCATTGCTACGGGGTTCTGGGGGCGTTACACCATCAACTGTGGAGTACTACTCGGCTTGGTTTCACCATCCAAATACATCATTACCCTCCAAGACCAACATTTCAAGTTTTTGAACATGGTATTGTAACGACTTCACCTGCTGCCCCTATTTTAATGACGTATGCAAGGCGCCACCCCAAGCGCAAGAAAGGTGGTGCACAAAAGACTGTCAGTAAGGAGGTGAGGTGGCAGAATCAGTTACAAGGAGCAGAAATAAATAGGAGAAAGAGAGGTGGTATAGGGCATCAGAAAAAAGTATTTTCATTACCATTTAGGAGTGACCTAAGCCACTCGAATTCTTAGGTGGCATTTGGTTCGCAGATTCTGGAGGAATCTGATGGAATTGGAATATTGAATTCCATTTACCAAATTCCATTCCCTCGTTTGGTTCATTCTTTTTCACGAAAGGAATCTTCAAAATCCTACAAATTCCACAAATAAAGGAATTTAACATTCCTTAGCAATTACATGGTTTTTTGATGGAATGGAATCTCTATCTTCATTATACCAAATATGCCCTTAACCTAATATACTATAATCTCATAAAACTCAAAATGACCATCATTGACCACCTCTCGACCACTATTGATATGAACCACCACCGACTACCACCGATCCGAACCACCGTCGACCACCACCACCGACTACCACCGATCCGAACCACCGCCGACCACCACCACCGATCCGAACCATCGCCGACCACCACCACCGACTACCACCAATCTGAACCACCGCCAACCATCACCACTTATCTGAACCACCGCCAACTACCACAGGTCTGAACCACCGCCAACCACGACCATCGACTACCACCGGTCTGAACCACCGCCGACCACGACCACCGACTACCACCGATCTGAACCACTGCCGACCACAACCATTTACTACCGCCGATCTGAACCACCGCCGACCACCATCACCGACTACCACCGATCTGAACAACCACTGATCTGATTCACCGTCAATCTGAACCACCACCGATAACAGCCATCTGAACCACCATGGACCACCATCGATCTGAACCACCGCCAACTACTACCGATCTGAAGCACCGTCGATCTAAACCACCATTGACCATCACCGATATGATCCATCGCCGACCTGAACCACATCTGACCATCGTCACCTAAACCACAACGGACCACCATCGATCTATATCACTGCCAACCACCGACGACTACCATCGATCTGAATCACCGTCGGACACCGCCGACCACCACCGATTTGAACAACCACCGTTGACCACCTCCATCCGAACCATTGCAGACCACCATCGATCTGAATCACTGTAGACCACCACCATCTGAACCACTGTGGACTACCACCGATCTGAACTACCGCCGACCACCGTCGATTTAGTAACGTCGTTTGGCTTATGAT